TGACATAAATAGTAAAATGCCATTTTACTAATTTATAATTGTCATTCTAATAATAATTTAATAACAGAAAAAAATTCTTTTTTTTCTTCTTCCTTCTGGTTATAAAATAATAATAAATATTAATGAGGAAGTTCGCAAGAACTCCCGGAATTAAATATTTATATTAATTTTATTAAATGATATAATGAAGGACATAATTAGTAAAATGGAAAATTATGTAATAAGAAATGTATACCATTAACTGATAATAACTTTTTCTACCCTATTGGAAAAGATCCCAATGAAGAATTTGTGTTAAATAATGAAATAAAGCAAATGGAAAAATTAAAATTATTTCTAAATTATAAAAAGATTTTTCAGATTTATCATTAGAAAGGGATAAAATGATTATAGATGAAGATAATGATGAAGAAAGTAATGATGAGAATATAATTAAAAATAATGTAGAGGTAGATTTTCCTGAATATCAAACTATAAATAGAAAAAAAAGAAAAAAAGGTAAAAGTGAAGTGAAAGAGATTTCAATGAACAACAAATATTAAAAGATTTTCAAATTAAAAACATTAAGTATTAAAATAAAGATTAAATAGAGGTTTGATTTAAATATGTTTAATATATAAAATGTAGCAGGTTTCTCAGAAATGTAATAGGTTTCATAGAAATGCTATTAAATCTCTGTATAAGAATTAATCCTCGTGGGAGGCTACCAATATAAATAAAAAAATTCAATTTTTATTATTTTTATTGTAAATCAATAAATAATTCGGCCACTGATGGTTATACCGGTCATAGCAATTTTATTATCTATATTACAGCTAGTAGATTATAATTGGTTAGACAACTAATAGTAGGACGCCCTTGACGTTCCACCAACCGTCGCACGTTAAAGTCACACCATCCGGATCTTTGGCTAGTTAATGATCTTCTCGTCTGACTGATCAGCTACGCATTCTAAGATATCGGTAGATAATTTTTGTCTCCGTGGTATTACTCCACGTTCATTCTGTCAATATGTTAGCGAACGAGAAGTGACTGATATAATTGAACTCCACTAATACCATTCTCTAGTACCTACTCTGAGATCAGGTCACAAAAAAACAGAAGCTCGCGCACTTCATTGTTATCTACCCACATGAACGGCAAGTTGGCGGAAAGCATGGCCAGAAGAAACAAGTTATGACAGATAGTGAACCATTCGTTGGACAATTCAGGTGGGCTCGCGTTCGAACCGTTTGTGATAAGGCCGCTGCTGGCAAGGCTCATCGCTTGTGAAGAGCCGCCTGTGTTAACTTGGCTGATAGAGTCCTCAGGTCCTATATCCGACAGATGTCTTTGAAACATGAACTACTGGTGGATCAAATTATGGTCTTTTGCAAGTTGCGATATTTGTATAGCTGATAAGTTTGGGCAGACCTAAAACGAATAGTCAACGATTAGGTCGGCCATGACAAATGCTGCTCATTACAAACGAGAGGTACGTCTTACTTTCAAGTGATTCTCCCAGTTGTCTTTTCTTGAAATGAAAGGAGCAACGTTCTCTTCACAAAGTTTCTCGATGCAGGCTAAACACCATGACCAGCTGTCATTGTGGATTTTGTCCGCTTCTACTCTTATTTCTCGTTTAAAGTAGGTGCTGTATGAACTACGAGGTCGTCCCCTTTTCTTTGGTAGTACTGGGCTACTGTTGTTACTGGTGCTGCTGCTGGATCTATTCGAGTAGTGTGTCATCGAAAATTTGATACGGCACTTAGAGAGTTTGATACTGCACTTCGAAAGTTGAAGCGAAAGGGATGTGACGCGTCACTTGGGAAATCTCTTATAGGAATGGGCCAATTGCTAATGCACTAATGGTAATGTGATCAAACTACACACACTGAACAGGCGATTGGGCAATAATCATGTGAGCACTTATATTTTTCGTGAGTTTTCGGGAGATCCACGAAAATTAGGGTGCTGAGTTTGTCCAATACTGAAAAATACATAAAAGTTAATATTTTTAATATTTTTCCTTATTCTAATTTCCTTATTCTAATTTCCTTATTCTAATTTTCATCAACATTTTAAAAATTATTAATTGTCTAGTAAGCAGATATAAATTTAGTAAATATGAGAGGCCATCCAGCATTGAAAAACATGCCCCATCTACAGCTTATAGAATGAAAAACATGCCCCACCTACAGCCTACAAAATGAAAAACATGCCCCTCTCACAGCTTACAAAATGAAAAACATGCCCCATCTACAGCTTATAGAATGAAAAACATGCCCCACCTACAGCCTACAAAATGAAAAACATGCCCCGTCTACAGCCTACAAAATGAAAAACATGCCCCGTCTACAGCCTACAAAATGAAAAACATGCCCTGTCTACAGCTTATAGAATGAAAAACATACCCCACCTACAGCCTACAAAATGAAAAACATGCCCTGTCTACAGCCTATAAAATGAAAAACATGCCCCACCTACAGCTTGCAAAATGAAAAATATGCCACGTCTACAGCCTACAAAATAAAAAACATGCCCCATCTACAGCCTACAAAATAAAAAACATGCCCATCTCACAGCTTACAAAATGAAAAACATGCCCCATCTACAGCTTATAGAATGAAAAACATACCTAACCTACAGCCTACAAAATGAAAAACATGCCCTGTCTACAGCCTATAAAATGAAAAACATGCCCCACCTACAGCTTGCAAAATGAAAAACATACCCTGTCTACTTATAGCCTTTTGCTTTTTGAAATAATCGTCTGGCTGTATGTCTTCTATGATTTGCTTACTCTTTCGTTTATTTTTATTATGTTTTCTTTTCTTTTTATGTTTCGGCGTATTATTTGGTATACTACAATCACTGCTTTGCTCTGATTCAGATATACTGACATCTATATATTTATGTTTCTCTGTATTTTCAGGTGGATTATTCCAACCAATATCTTCAGTTATTATTTCATCAAATTTTACATCATTTAGTGCATCTTCCCAATGTCTACAATCTGATGGTGGTGATGATTTTACATCTGACCATCCTCTATTAATTTGTTGAGGCGGTTCATATTGTTTATTATCATGTATGTTGTTATTATTATATTCTTCTTCTTGTTTTCTCATATATTCTTCTGTATTGGCTAGTTCTTGTAGCTCCTCTACTGTTTTATCTATTGGTTTATATTTTTTTATTCCATCTTCATCACTTATATTAGCATATCGGATAAATCTATGCTGGTCTTGGTATTCATTTTCATATTCATCTTTATATAGATCCTCATACATATCCATGTTTTCATAATATATGAATTTCTCTTCATAATCATTTACATTCATTGTATATGGATTCCATATAATATGTCCTTTACGGTTTTTATCAACATATATTATATATAAACGGTTTAATGTTGGTTCTAATTCATATACTGATTTATTCTTATATAACATATGAGGCATATAATTACTATTCAATATTATTGGCATATTCTTTTTTTTAATAATAGACTTGGTAAATTTACCATTTAGTTATAACCGTGTTCCTTCCAACATTTGGTTTAGAAATGTTAGTTTGAAATCAGAACCTGTTTCTTCGTTATACATGAAGTCATAATCATCATCCTTATAATCTGACCAATCATTTTCTTTATTCATTAGATATGCTCGATGACCACCTTGTTCTATTAAATCTATATTATATGTCTTACCAACATTTGATGGACCTACAATCCAATATTGTGGTATCTCATTTTTACTATCAAACATAGTTTCGATACCAAATATAGACCACATATGTAGTTTGTTTCCTGGATTGTTTTCCATATGTTCCAGTCTTTAAATCTTTGATTTAAGCCTAAGAACGAAGTTCTTCTAGGACCCTGTGGGGTCCAATAATAAAATTGTAATAATAATTATAAGAAAAATACCTCTTGGTATCTTCCCAATAAATAAATAAATAATTAAATTAAAAATATAAAAATACCCATTGGTATTTTTTAGCTTTCTAATAAGTATAATTATAATATTTTATTAATGATATGAAAAATACCACGGTGTATTTTTCTAGTAGGAATATTTAATATTTTTTGTTGGAGCTTTGCTCCTAGAAGTCATTCTACTGCTCGCTCCATTCCTTGTTTCATCTTCGACGAGACTGGAAGGGAGGAGAAGAAGAAGATTAATAATTTAATCCTTAGAATGTAATAATAATAATAATGAATATTATTATTTCAAATTGTAATTTTGTACAAACCAAAATAAAACCTTCACTACTAAATAGTTTAAATTTAAATGTTAATAACAATTAAAATAATAATGATAAGTTATTGTATGAATCAAATAATAAAATTAAGAACTGTATATTGAAAAATAAAGATATAAATAATTATAATATTAACATTATTTTTTATAATCAGAAAATATCAATATATGTTAAAAAGTCATATAAGCATATTATTATATTTATCAATAAAAATTATATTGAATATATTAAAGAATAAAAAAATGTAAAAATTTTATTATTTGATGTAAAAAATATATCAAGAAAATATAGATTTTATAATCTGTAATCTATTTTCATAATAACCCAAATACTTAATATTAAAAGTATAATAGGCTAGGCTAGATAAGATATATATTTTTTTGTATTTAAAAAATTGCTATACTTTATAATTCAATTTATTTTTATGAAATAGAAAAAAATGCAATTTTATTGAGTATATATTTATTATTGATTAATTTATTTTTTTAAAAATAGAACAAATTTTAAAATATATTTTTTTAAATCTGTATATAAGTATTAATTATAATTAAGTTTAAATACTAATACTAAAATGTTTATTCTTCATGGGTCTGCAATACTCAGATCACCATTGACAATGTGATAGGTTCAAACCAGTGTCTTTGAGTTGCTGTAAAGCTGACAGCTGATTTTCCAAACTGATTTCAGTTCCATATATAGAGCAGGCAGCATCAGCTGCAGATAATATAGTCATATTAAAAGACAGGATGAGTGCAATGGAGCTCGTAGAAAATCGCAAGTACAAAGAAAAAGATGGAAAGAGTTTCTGGGACACACTTGAAGGCGTGCTATACTCCGAATATCCAGGTTTTCAGACCACCTCTTTTATTCACGTGATTTTATGATTTCTTTCAAACTACAGTATTGAAACTCTTTATTGAAATAATTTTAAGATCAAAACAACACCAACAGTAGGCATTTCTGTTTTGTGCGTCAAAATCCCATAATACGATTTTTGTCTTTTGATAGTAGACAACTCAACATGACATTGTATATATTAGCATAAGGTCTTATATAAACAATTCTCTACTCATCTACTGACCCACAGTATTTCTTATAAGATAAGAGAGGAATAAGGATGAAGGACCGGCCATTATTTCTTTAACTTCATTGATGATATATCATCGTGGTAATATATGGTATGCTTATGCTATTAACAATTTAATACCCAACACTTTTGTATTTTTAATGTATGTAATGTAATAATACAGAATGTGAAAAGATGTTGGATGTAGTGTATGATAATAGACGGACATGGCAATACACTTCCAATTTACTCCTTTCCTGACCATGCAAGGCAAGGATTTCTTTAATTCATTTTTATTGAAGACACAATATTTCATAAAAGTGCTGCTCTCAAATACCGTTTCTGTGCGATTTCAACCTCAAACTATTGTATTACAAGGATCCGTTCTCTCCCCTTCCCTTTACTCTACTAATTTTAATACCCTACCCCAATTTCTTTGTGACGCAGAACCATCTGCGTATCTTGATCAAGCTCCTCCCTCAGTCAATCTGCCAGTTGCTCCAGCTGCTCTCACCCTGCATGACATGCGCATCAACTGTTTACTTTATGCGGACGACGTCGTCTTGATTGCCGAACCACCCATTATGCCAGCACTATTAGCCGCCTGTGAGGACAATAGTAGGATAGTAGGCAGCTTGTCTATCGGTGAAGCCCCACCAGGTGCGTTGTTTTCGACCGACAGTTATCATCTGTATCAACACTACTTGAGCTATACTACACCGCCTTGCCGACTGCCAGCTCCTTCAAGTATCTCGGCATTCCCTTCAACCCATCAGCTATATGGATGTCCAGCTACCAATCGAACACAGCACCAAGAAAGCGACCAGCTCGTCAAACGTCTTGAATTCCCTTGGTCTTAAGTGCCTCAGGCTTCACTTGCCTCTTGTCAGCACGCTTTTTTATGCCCAGTTCATCCGCCCACAGATGGAATACGGTCTTGCCATCCAAAAACCGCTCAAAAACAGGTGAAGCTGCTGCAAGATGGCCTAAGCTTTGTGTATGCGCCGCATCTATGGTAGCTCCTCGAGGTCGTCCTCTGTTCCAGTCATGCAACACCTTGTTGACTTACCCGCTATGTCGTTACGCATTGTGGTCCTTCAAGCCAAATTTGGCAACCGCACCCGATGGTTGCCCGATGAGGCACTCCTGCCTGCGCTATTGTCCCATCTTGACGGCACCTGCAATAGTCGCTACTCACAACTCAAATAAATAGTACTTTGGAAACAGCTCCCATCACAAGCAGCGCCATATGACCAAAAAGAGATCCGCAGCGCAATGGGTGCTGTAGCTACTGCTCAGTTTCCAGGAAGCCCGTTCCAGTCCACGCGCCAAACTACTATCCGCATGTCGACTAACACTAGGCATTGATCCTGTCGTCTGGCTCCCAATGACCCATCACCAACGCAGCCGCCTTGTTCGTTAGCGCCTAGGGTAGATGCCAAACGGCCGCGCCGATGCTACCTGCCGCAACTGCCCTAATCATCTTCATCTCTCACGCATGCATGTCATCCTCTGTCCTCAAGCATATACCCGGCCCAATGTTTCATATGTTGTACTTGTTCCAATATCGTTTCCTCTCAACTCGTTTCCCAAGGCACGACCAACCAACACGTCCAAAAAGCAGTTTTGGAAGAACATGTGGCAGCGACTGACGACTCTGTTAGCGGATATCGACGTCCTTTGCCACGACAACGGTACCAGTAGCCCTGGTCCCACAGTTCCTCCAACGATCAGCAATGACTTCATCACCTGGCTTGAGACAACCCAAGAAATGCAGATCAACCATAAGCCTCCCCTATCGACCTCCTCATCTTCAAACTCTTCTTCACCACAAGCTTCTTTTCTTCCTTTCCTCCCCTCTCTCTGTTTTCTTTGATTGCAAAAAAAAAGAACAAGATTGTTCCCCCTCTCTATCGTTATCTTGGAACACCATGCTTCCATTTCCTCAACTCTCTAATTTTTTTTCCACCAGCACCTCCACCACACACTCCTGTTAGACCTTTATACATCTTCTAGTCCATTTTCCCCCTCTGACTCATGGCGTTTTTTCATCAGTCATTGAGATCGGGCTTTAGCGGATATGCGATTTGCGACGCGCTTGTATGACCATTTATTGTTTCTGTGAATGATAATAAAGTTAAATAAGATCTGTACAAAAAGTGTCAATTTACTAATTATATTGCAGGCTATAGTTGCTTGATATGTATAATAAATCACGATGGTAGGTCGGGAAGTATGCTTTGGAAGGATAATACAATGTATGCTGAACGAGTAAATAGAAAACAAAAGACATGTCGTGTGTGGGTGTGAATGACGATGGAATTAATGATGATGTTGAAGATGTGAGTGCTTGTTATGTATATGTATGATGTTGCCGCCTGTGGTTCAGTATTGTCATCAATCTCCCGCACGGTTGTTGGAACCATTATCATTACTTTTGAAGATATTCCAGAGCGGGTTCTTGCCTTTATCCCGTAATACCTTATTGATAGGAATGTACCTTTCGTATCCGTTGTTGCCAATGTCCACAGATGATACTTGAGCTTCGCCGTGCTCAGCAGGCGATTGTTGTTCTTCATCATCGTCGCTCTCACCGCTATCCAACTAAAGTGATTAATTCTATGTTAGTATTCCGAAACAACTTTTTACTTCCCCTGAACGGTGGTTTGCTCTTTTTCCTGCTCACCATCCGTGCAGCCCGAGCGAGCATGGCTATACTGCGTTCTTCTTCAGGAATTTCCATGTCTTCTTGAGCGAACCTTGCTAATGCCGACTGAATCTCCGCAATGCCCTCAGTACACTATGTTTATCCACGTCAGCATTTGATATAGCTTTCACTTCCGTGGATATATTACACCCATTGGACTTACAATTCTTATTTCCTCATCTGTTGCATGCAGCTCTTCATGTGAGTTTTGTATTATAGGCGAAGCGCAACGTGATAACATTTCAATCCTGACAAAAGAGAGACAGAGATAAGCATATGGTAATACACTTATTATGTGCCAATCATGCATGCCAACATGCGCAAACATGTCGCTGTTTCCATGGCTGTATATAATAATTCCTATTACCTTGGAAACCCGAGTTTAAATGATTCATATGGTAGCCGATAGACTGTTTGGTTATATTGGATCATGGGATTTCCCTCTATCACCATGTTATGTTCAGATGATGTTTTATCGTGTTCCTTCTGTGGCACAGATAGATCGTCGTCTTTAGTCGCTTTTGTTACTGGTACATCGTCATCATCATCGCTACTTTCACCACCACTACCGGGAGCAGGATCCATTATAATAGTTTGTCGTTTTCGACGCATTCGCGGCTATAATAATGAGAAAAAATATCAGGAGATTTGGTTTGATTTGATAATCAAGATACAAGGTCAGTTACTGTAATATAATTTATACAGGGAGGCTTTACTGGGGGAGAGATAGCCCCGGTGGGGGTTGCATGTGCTGAAAAGTAGCACATCCAACTTAATTAGGTTATCATATTCTTTTACTATCCTTACCAGAACATGTTCAACGTGAGTCGGGCACATCCATTTCCGTGCTGGATTGGGCATAGACACCATGGGTGGATCGGTACAATCCATATGCCAACTGAGAGGACAATAATCGCAAGTAATCATTCGACCGTGAAGAGCACTTTTTCGACATCGAAAGCATACAATGATATTGCCGTCTGCATCTTTCAGTCGTCTTTCGTCATATAGGTCCGCTTGTGGGCCCGATCTGTCGGGTAATGGGTACAAGTGGCGCGCGGATGAGCGGATAAAGAAAAAAAATCAGTAAAAAAAACAAAAAGGAATACAAGACGTGATTTTTCTACTCACTTGTGTCGTACTGGTTTGATGGTTGAAGAATCAACATATTGGCCAACTTTGTCCATAGAAACTATCCATCAAATGTGTTAATCAAATTAAATGATATGCTAATATTAGTGCTAGCTAGCAGTGCCAAAACTAGACGTAGAACTAGAGCTAGCCAATAACAAGGAGAAGCAGGGAAGGTAGGGGGTGTCTCTGAGACGGGGAGAGAATGCTTACCGCCTTCAAAATAGTTGATGACTTCGATAGGTGGGCGATAGGCCACAGGGTTTCGGGAATCCAGATCTTGGATCATTCGATGGAAAAGGGCAGTGACTGGAGGAAAAGGAGGAGGCGTGGGTACATAATTCTGCACAATATGAAAAAATGATATTAGAATATTAGAATTGTGATGGTATATCAGTGTTGGTGATAGTGATGCACGATGCAGTTATGTGTGAGTGTGTGTATAATACAAAGAATTCTATGATAATTCTGGTTTTACCTGACTTTTGCGTTTATGCTCACATTCACGACAATACCATTCGCCTTCTAGATGTTCCACGTCACTGTCGTCCATTGGTGGATCCACGCAAGTAAAGTGAAACGCCTTGGGGCATGCATCACAGCATAAGAACCGTCCAACGAACCCACAGGATGAACAAAAATCATTATTCTAAAAAAAATTTGGAAGAAAACCAAAAGAGAAAAAAAAAATTGCTGGCGCGTTAAAAAAGATTCCATCGATTTTTCCTCCATCATTCTTAACCGCCACAGACTTTTGCCAGCTTTACGTTGCATGCATTTCTTATCTCTTTTATCAAACATACCTTGATGGGCGCTTCTTCAACAGTAGCATCCTTGTTTCGTCGTTTGTAGGGTCGTTTGGTTGAGGAAGAGAGGTTGTCACTATGGGTTACAAGGAAGGGGAGGGGATTAGTAACTCCGAGAGTGTAGCCGATAGGCATTTCTCTTTTTTTTTTCGAACAGAAATACACATACTACATACTTTTCTACTGCTGCTAGCTTGCGTTTCACTGTGGACCGGCCATCATCTGGAAAGTTGGGAGAGGCTGATGATGGTGGACGGTTCGGTGAAGCTGATCGTGTTGCGCGGCGAGTAGTCATTCGCTTCATAGTTGCTGATGACGATTGTGGTAGATATATATATATAAATATATCAAGTGTGAATTTATCTATATATATGTTGCCACTTAGAAGGAAAAAAAATATTAATAAGAATCACACTACGGGATACTTCTTATATTTGTCGTTGATGACTATACCGTTTTGCTTAAAGTCAGGTAGTGGGAAGACGGACGTTTAGCCAGATAGTGCTGCCTAGCGTTATCTCTTAGGAAGTTTTTTTTTAATGTTATATCCTCGGTTGCTTCTTTTGGTGTTGCGCCCGTGGTATAGATTTTCTCGCTTTTTCTTTCTTGGTAGGCTTTTACTTCTTCTTAGAGCAGAGTGTAAAGAGATGTAGGATGTGTTTTATCTCTCTCTCTCTTCTAAATCTTTGCTTTACGTATAATGTATAGACAGTGATCTGCTGTTTGTGTTTTTGTCTCTATTAATGATGATATATAGACGAGTAAGTTGTAAGGATAACAAAACAAGGCAAGAGAAACGTATCCCAATCTGTCGCAGAACCCGACGTCTTACCAAAACAAAGTAAAACGCACACACACGACCAAAAAACCCCCCCACTAACTACACTTTTCAATAAACCTACAGTAATATGATAGAAGCAGCTGCAGGTTTCTATTTCATACAAGCTGATCGTAAGGTTCAAAGTAATTCTAATGTAATTGTCATCGTACACCTCTCCCTCCTTTTCTCTTTCTCTCTCTCACCTCAGAAATATCCTCCTCTCTCTCTCTTCTACTCTGTCGGAAACATCGCCTTGGGCATAATGGAGAAGAAGAATCCTGCACACTCGCCATGTCCCGTCACACGCCCACACCCTCAATACACCGCACAATAGCACAAAAGAGAGAAAAAAGCAGCATAGATAGCATACAATAAGAAATAGCAACTTTACCTGGATAGCAGGAGAAAAAGAGGAAGACTTGATCGAATATATATTACTACGCTGAGTAAAAAAAGAAGGACAATAAGTTCGACTTATTGGATAATTAAGAGTAGAAAGGTGAGAGGCACTTAGAAAAATTGGGCGCGCGAGTTTGCTGGATTTTTAAAAGCTTTCTAATTTGGTCTTCCGACCATATAACCATCGCTTTTTTTTTTGGCTTCTCTGCTTCTTTCTTTTATAAATATGATATATTGGTGATTATTGAGGTTGCTATTTAACGTTTCTTTCTTTTAAAATCTTGTGGTGATGAAGTACTGCGACGAACATGCGATTCTCGCCGTCGACTAGCGCTTGATTCAGAAGCAGCAGCAGCTACTGCTGCGGCTTTTGTTGAAGAGGAAGAGTCATGGTTGTAGAAGGATTGTTCGCCATACCACACATTATGCTTTTCCTCGGATCCCAGGTAGCCGACTTCGAGTTCATCCGTTGGCAGCGATGATGGCACATTTTCCTGCTTCTGTTGCTGCTGCTGCAGCTGCTGTTGTTGTTGTTGTCTTTCCTTGTTTTCCCTGACTGCTTGTAAAATCTTGGATATCGCGGCTGTTCGTTTTTGCCTTCGTCGTAGAAGCACCTCTTCGTCTTCATCTGCGTTATCTTCATTATCTGTTACTGGTGAGCGACGTTGTTGTTGCCGTAGTGATTCACATGGCAATTGCTGCTGCCGATGTACACTGCCATTCACATCTTCCTCTTCGTTTTCGTAACCACCACCATCATCATCAGTATCGTTCTGGTTATCGATACGGCCTTCCTCTTCTTCACTATCGGACGACACGGCATACACTGTAGCATCAACGTGAAACGGATTTTCTTCTGTTTGATCCCCGTTCTCTTCAAGAGATAGCCGTGGCGTTTGCTGGCTTGGATCGGCATCAAAGGGATAATAAGATTCAGGGAGCCGTTTCTTTTGTTTATAACAATCCTCGACCCACAGTGGCGACACCAAACGTGCACCAGAATTCAGTGCTTGCGCAACCAGCCGTGGTTGTTGCTGATGATGAGTGTGCATCCTGCCTGCTGCTTTTGTAGCGACCGTCGTCACAGGCGAGTGTACAACGTGGGTCACTGTCTTGTTCATATTCGGCGAAACTTCTGCACCCATGGCCGCCGCTTGCTGCTCAAGACGTTGGGCCTCCCACAGCTGTTTGTCAATCACCATAATTACGCCTTCTAGTACACTGACACAATCAGCCGATGATATCGGATCTTGATCAGATTCCACAAGGCTATGTAGATCCGCTATTAACGACGACGATCGATTGCAATTAGGGTTACTATTGACGAGGGGATTCGTTTGTGATAACAAGGGCTGTCTTCTTTTGCGCACTCGTGTTGGTGCTTTCGCCTTTCGTCGGCCTGTGCTTTGAATGGGCTTTTTAAATCTGAACGAGTCGGCAGTAATATCTTGACTTGGAGGCATAATACGCATAGTGGAGGGAAAAGATTAAAAAAGAAATGCACGGAAAGCGCAGTGCCTTATCCCAAAAAGGGCAAACAACCCAATTGAAATAGCGAAGAACAATAAGCAAAAGGTACGTGTAGCTTTTTATGTTAGGTCTTTTTACATACAAGGTACTTTATGTGTGTGTGATGTGTGTGATTATAATATTACTAATAGTAATCTACTATTTAGGATGAAACAGCAGACTGTGCCATGGAGGAGAAGCCAAGCCCTATCTCGGAGCCAGCAATTTGCAAGCAGTCGCGTATTAAACTGACTACGGTGGGATCATCGCATGTGATCATCCTACATAACGTTGGATATAAGTAAAACAAGTGCCCCCTTGGACCAGACAAGGGTAGCTGTCTTGCAGTGCCTATCATTGGATCAATGTTAGCATGGGCCGTACATAAAAACACATGTACACTCATCTATAGTAAGAAGGGACACTTACCCTTATCTTCTTCCTTCCATGCTAGAATGTCACTTTGAAGCTTAAGGTCAAGCGATTGTCGCAAAAAGAAAAGCATTTCTTCTTTCCGAACTCTACATGTATTGACATAACAGTCAGTACATATTGACTAGAGAAAGCTGTGCCATAACAAAATAATAATAAGGGCAAACCCTGCATCATTAAAAAGTAAGGCAAGGTCTTGCAGAGCTAGCTCCTCACCCCATCAAGTACCTTGGAAACGGGCATCGACCTAACAGTGGCTCATCGGCAGTATAATTTCGCAAGATGGTCTCACAGCGTTCTAGCAGAATTGGTATCGCTGCACGAGCAATCCGTTTCCGTACTTCCAAATGATCTAAACAACACAGATCAAAAAAAGTTAGTTTCTCTTACTGTAAATATATCAGAAATTTGTTTAGTGTGGGGTCTTCCCTCTCTTTCGTTCTTACTTTGTTTCTCAGCAGAGCATAATATGAAAAGTGTCTTTAGCGCTGCATAAGCAAACGATTCTTTCATGACGGGTACAATGGTGCCCGTGGTGCCAACGATATCGCCAGAACGCTCATACCCTCCACCTCCTGATCCACTTTCTTCTTCGATGGCAAGTTCTTTGGTCGCAAGTTCTTCTTCGCTTTCAGTATTTCGTCGATGTGAGGTACTTTCATCAACGTAGTACAGTCGCGAGCTTTGATGGACAATATCAACCAGCTTTTCAATCAACTCGTCAGGCACACGCGGTTCACCGAGATATATCACTATATCGTTCTGAATAACGCTAAGTACCGATATGTCGAAATGTTCGTCGACGTCTAGTTCTTCAATTGTCATGCTCGACGGGGGTGTACTATACATATTTACATACAGAAATTATTAGCGACAGGAGTTTTCTTCCATAGACAGGAAAATGACTGATGATTACCTTGGTGATAATAAACTGCCATGGAAAATGTCAATTAATGTTCGCCACACGCCAATGAACCGGTCCAAAGGAACCTCTAATTATCTAGCAGTTAGATTTTTACCCAAATTTAAATCATCCATAACAGATTGTTTTCTTTGATGTTTACCTTCGCCAAAACTGTGTAATTTTTCCAATCCTAACCGTAAAACGTCAAGTAGTCCAGTTGTTGCAAGTTTCCATAACGGCGTCTTGTCATCGCCATGTTTATAAGACGGCGGACAATCATACTTGAGCTTCATTGGGAGGCCGAACGCGCCAATGATACGTTCAAAAACCCCCTTCGAGTACAAAGAAAGGTTGTCCACATGCGTGTGGAACATATCAACAACCATTTTGCTGGTGTGCTTGTTTAGTGCGATATATGTAACAGTTGAGTAACGACGCTGTTGAGGCGACATTGTTGTGTTTGATTTGTTTTTGTTGCTGCTGAAAATGTTGCTATTGTCATCTTGTGGACCCAGGAATGCCAAGGTCATGTATTCTGACAAGTCGCGTAATACAAGCGGGGGTATTCCTGGTTTATCCATGTCTAGTACCTGTATTACATTCAGTGCAGCCTCTTGTAGTGGAGACAGATGGTCGATGTCTGGTCGATATTGTTGGCTTGTCGAGTAGACAAGTACATTCTTGAGCACGCTCAGCAAATTCTCAGCATCGCTCAGGTTAAACGTCGGAGCAATCACCTTGTACAGATCCGTGAACATGTTGACATAAGCTGTCAGCATATCTTGCGAAAAGTCATTGGAAATAGGCGCCATACTCGAGGACGATAGTGACAAGGTCAGTGAATAAAGCTCAGGATCCAGCTGCTTGTTCCTTGTCGATCTCGCTGCTGCTCCTCTATATTCTTGATCTTCCTCTCCACTTTCTACATTGTTGTCATTGTCGTTGCCCTCTTCCTCCGCAACTATGCTTTCACCAATGACAAGCCATGATTGCCATGCGCTGCGCCAGAGTGACGCGATCGCTTGTCCTGATGGTTGTCCTGCCGTCTCCTCAGGCTGTCGGGATACGATGGTTTGAAAGCTCTTGATGCTTGCCAGTGAGACCTCCTGACTCGACCGTAGACAGGAATCTTCCAAGTGAGCAAGTAAGAGTGACCATGCATGCTCAAACTTGGGTAATGCGTAGAGTTTACCGAGAAAGTCGCGGAAGATGCCCGAAAGACCGGTCAGGACAAGCACCTTGGTTTCGTCCCATTGTTTATCTGCTGTGTCACGTGAATGATGAAGCATGAAACCGGATGCATCGCGATCATCTTTGGTCGACGGTGTCGGTGACTTGTTGGCCCGTGCTTGCATTATACGTACTGCTCGGATTGACGACATTTTGATCGCATCGAGTAACGGGAACAGAACTTCCCAAATGCATGCGCTCCATAGATGCTGATTCAACACACTGCCGTTCATCATGATTGTTCGGAAAAGCGTCTGATTCGCTCCATTGCGTACTTCAGGACGTCCGTCCGTGCAAACGTGAGATAGCTGGAGTAGCAACAGCATCCACAAAATGCTTAATGTCGTATTTTCGCTTTCCGTGCTAAGAGGTTGATCGATATTGAGCCAATGTTTTTCAATAGGCGTGTCGTCGACATTATGACCACCAATACCGTCTTCAGCCGTCTTTTTTGCTGGACCGAGTCGTTTGGTTTGGATAAAGTCGGACAGATTCCATAATAATCCAATTGCTGTAAGACTGATATTGACATCTTCACTCTGCATACCGAAGGCTCCCAAGGTAGCAATGCATTGACGTAGACAATCAGGCGATAGGAGAGATAAGAAGTCGGTACAAATGAGTTGCAGACTGGCAAATGCGACCTTGATCAGACCACTTGGATGTTGCTTAGCATTAGATGCGGTGGTATTTGTGGCAGGTGTGCTGTAATTGGTAGCAGTTCGTAAAGAAGATGCTGTCGTATCGATACTCGTACGTTCTGTCCGTGAATCATCTTCAGCGTTGCTCTCATTATCATCGTAGTCAGCTGAATGTTGGCCTGAACTCGACGACGTTGTCACATGCTTTATCATTTCAAAAATGAGACCCCAGCCGCATGTAAACGAATGACCCGATGTTTGCAGCAGTTTGTTGAGCGTTTCGAGACCCGTTCGTTGGACTTCAGTGAATGCTTTGACACCGTCACTGTTGAAAACGGGCGAGTCTCCTTTGGGTGGTGTAAAGTTGATACACTGATTCAATGCTGTCAACAACCGGATTTGTAGGTTTTCGTCCGGTTCTTTGTGTTCGGATAGACTGAAGTCCATGGCGGTGATAACAATGTCAGCAGTCGATTCGCAGCATTGCGTACGAATAGTGCCTGGTGTACCAGGGTAGTTTGCAGTGGCGATCAGGTGCGACGTGATCAAGTACCAGGTACCAGAATCTCGATCTGGATTGATGAGGCGACCCATATCCAGTGTTGATATGTATCGCAGTTTTTCTATTGCAAATGAGGTCTTGTTGAAAATTTTCTGTAATGAAAGAAACAAGTTACGTTAGATACGGACTGTACGATAAGCAATGCATATCTCGTATCGATGATGGTGGTAATTACCGCTCGGGATGATTTGCTTGAAGGTAACGACTCATCTTCTTGAGACGGTAAGCCGCTTGCTTCTGAGCTAAGTCGACACAATGCAATAGTAAATGCATTGAATGCGTTATCATCAAGGAATCGGCTATTCTCGAAAAGGCGGTTCAGCGACCCATGAATAATAGCAATATGATCTGCATCCATGAGCTGGCTTGCATTTGGTTGGCCTGCCGGTATAAATCAATATTTGATTTTGTGACTTTCACCTTTCTTTTTTTATGAGAAAGAAACTTACTTGAAGCAGCAACACTGGCTTGTGTAGCGATCGTCGAAGCTGAGGTTGTCGTGCCCGATAATGTTCGGCGTACACTAGGTGGGCCAGGTTCTCTTGCCCCTGGCGCTGTTCCCTTTGGTGTTGGTCGATTAAATAGCAGGAAATCGGCTTGTTGTAATGTTTCCAGGATAAGATACCATGATGAGCCCAGTACGCCACCCAAAAACATGGCAATATTCAGCAAAACACGTAAGCTATACAGATTCTTGTCGCTCAGCACAATATTCGCGAGTAGTTGTTGCTGCTGGACTGGTAAATCTGAATAGGCAATCGCCATGGTTGCGGCTGTGGAGACGGTTGCCACGCTAGTCGAACTGCCCGTATTTTTGTTGGAAAATAAACCCGAGGACAAGACGGGTGTTGCTGGGATGGCGTTTTTGCACAGGTTGGTCAGGAATGCATCTCGTGGTACGACAAGGTCTAAAACACCACACACATTGGTAAAATTTTGGTATGATCGCATGGTGCTTTGAAACAACTCCTCGTCAAGGTTGGCCGAAAGATAGAATGACATGGCTGCTAAAAGACCAGGCCAAGCAACATTGGCCATGTCTGTTATGAGCGCTAAGTCTCGCTTTGTATTTTCGGCATTCGCTTGTGCTGTGTCCGGGGTGTTGCCTCGTTGTTGTTTTTGCTGCTGGCGTTCGCTGGCGACTGATTTGATGGTTGAGCTGCTGAGACTTCGTACACTGCCTGTTGCAAATCGAGGAAGTGCAAAGCCAGCCAAACCGTCTGCGATAGAATTTAGACATACCGCGGCGAGATAGAATATGTATCTTTCAGGAATAGTAGGAGGATCTGCTTTGTCTAGTTGGTCAATGCTAGAGATTGTGACCATACTTCACGTGAGTAAAACATCTCTAGAAGAGAGTAGCAAAGAAATACACTTAGGAATATTGCACAAACCATTGTATCCGCATAGTGGATCCGGCAGCACTTAGGCACGGGCTGTTGGCTTCATTGGCTGTGAATGTGGTACTGCTTGAACCATGCAATGTATAACTGCTGGTACCAGAACTGTGGTCGATACTATCTCTACCACCCTGGGTTGCGCCTATTAACTGTGGCCGTTCTGTAGCTAATCGCCCAAACGCAGTAATCATATCGCGAAATACATTCGTGGAGCTGCCTTGATGATCGTACCATTTATAGATTGAACAAAGCAAGAGCGAGTCCCCGCACACGCCCCGAAATATCTCTATTGCCAAAACGCGCTGCCAATGTGGATTTTCGGGTTCAAGGATTTTGACAAACATGGATAAGAATATCTCACATTCTGTCACCTACACGTGCTTATTGTTAGTAATCTATATCCAAACTAAGCCAATATGTATTATTCTTTTTAGCAATCTACTTGCCAAAATTTCACTGAACTGCTTAATTAGTATGTACACAACCCGCGTCACCCGCATCGTTTGTGGAAACTCATGTTTTTCCGAAAAACTCTTGATTATAAACGGGCATACGCGTTCACGCAGCAGCGAGCTCAATTCTTTGTGCTACAGGAGTTTGTTTGTTTAGATTATACTCGTACATTTATGCAGACGCATATACATATACACACCCATTTTCCTCATTTACCTCACGGAATAGAGTATAATGATTCGTCAGAACGCTTTCCACCAATTCCAAACCAAACGTTTTTGAAAGATGGTTGAGGCGAAGAAATTCTGGTGGCTCGTTGTTTGTCAGCAGACATAGATCTTGGAACAGATAGTAGGCGTCTTTGGCGCACGGACGTAAGAAGATGGAATCACCCGAGCTGAGCTGAACCTCTAAAATATGTGATCGCCATATCCATAAGCTCCTCCTCTTTGTCTTCCTTTCTCTCACTCATCAAACGGAATATGTACCATGCTTTGGTTCATCATCCGTCGCTGCCTGTGCATTTTCACGTGTCACTTTATCGAAAACAAAAATCACCAGTTGTCGTAACGTCGCTGCAGCCGTGTTGTTGACAACCACGATTTTGGAGTCTTGAAGACGAAAGCAAATCAGTAATGCCTATTCACACCATAGTACCACCCATGATGAAAGTGAATCAGCATACTTTCCCGTATAGTTTTAACATGACATGTCAATATTATGTCTATCTTTTCGATTTATAATCCATACCTCTGCTAAGATATCATCATGTACACTGCGATAGTTGGTTAATAACGGAAGGGCCGTTTGTAGTATTTTTAACTGTATTTCGACGCCATGGACGCTGATATCCGTCAATTTGCGCAGTATAGTCCTAACAGAAGTCTAACATAAACAGGTACGCAAGAATAAGGAATGAGATTTACTCTCTTTCCATACTAACCCGTGACCACAGCAACTTACTAGCACCATCTAACCCCTATTGTAGTATACCTCCTTTCCCTTCTGACTACCTTTCACATTTTTATTACCTCTGGTATGGCATGAAATGATATCAGCTTCTGTATGCACCCAATCGCAATAGTAACCAATTTCACCTGTTTTGTCTCACAGGCCAGCACAAACGGCCGCAATGCATCTTCCGACTTTGATAATTCTAGATTAAATATGTGGTTATGTGGTTATTAATAATAGAACAGCAAAGCTATTTGTATTATGGATGTATATTACCATTAGCGATATTGTAACCAGGACGTTCTTTAAAGCTTCGTAGGATAGCACTAAGTCTTTCGGCAGCCTGCATAAATTTTACATATAAAAGTTTAGTTTAGGCTGATTGTTTCAAGTCGTGTGTGTGTGGTGGTTGGGTAATACGAAAATGGTGTCAAACACCAATTGGTGGAAGCCAAAGAGAGAGGGTGAAAGAGAAAATGAAAAGGACTTTTACTTCTTTTATTTCAGGGTGTTTTCTTCGAGCTTCACTGGATAATGATAAAAGTTCGGTTTGTAGGAATGCTGTTAAGCCGCTCATAATGTTGACGGGTTGTTGTCGTTAACTGAGCGGGAAGGAAGAAGGGGAGATGAACAACACACTCGTTCGTTTTTCGTTTGGTAAGAAGTACGTCGCGCAAGATCAGATATAGTGAAGCTACGACACTTCCAGAGTCCAACCAAAACCGGCTATTTTGTCAATGTCGAAACCTTGATGAGACAAAAAGAAGAAAGGAGAACAGTGGAATCCAGAAAAACGCGCGATGAGAGTTGAAAGAGTAAAAGTGTACCTTTTAGGCAAAGTTACGAACCGATAGCAAGCTTGAATTTCGTGGCAGAAAGCCATTTGTAACTCCGGTTTGTGCAAGCATAGTACCATCGTAAAGCGAGGCTATGGCATGACCGACACCTTTCTATCTTGGAACCTTTGTAATTTTCCAATCAATCACATCTTATCAAGCACCATGTAACGCTGTTTTTTACGTACAAATCTTACCTGCAACACGAAAGGATAACTAGTTCCAGAAATAGTATGGTCCAATCGCCACGTAAAGATGGCCAATTCGACGATCATGCTTATTCTTGTTTGTTGAACTTTGTGGGTATATCTTGATATATTCATCACCAAGCGTTAATCGACATTTGGTACATAATCCTACAGCCATGATTATTTGGTTATTTACTCCATCTTTTACATATTATTCAGTGCCGATAGGGTCACTTTTTGGGCCATAATAGCTAGTTTGTAACTCTTAAAGCCAAATCTCGGTAGCAACAGATTTCAAATATCTTGGCTAGTCTTCCTGATTTGATCTCTTATAAGTAGTTGGCCTAGTGAAATTGCACCGTAGCTTGCTTACAAAATTTAGTGTCGTTACGGACAAACCTGGAAAATATTTCATTTGGATTTCGAATAATTTGTTATTACAGTACTACTTTGAGCCCACGAGCTGCTATACATATAATTCAACTGTTTCTTGTATATCAGTCTTAGCGTTGATTGCTTTGTCTCGCTTTCATGTTATAAATTGGTCAGGTGAGAATCATTGATTTTAATGCTTCTTTAAGCTTTAATATAGACAATCGTTTTGTTTGCGACTCTGCGATATTGACTGGAACGCAACATATCATATTACTCAATAACGCTGCGACATGCGGCTTGCTGATACTTTATCCGCATTCATACCTTTAGCAAACGTCGTTTAGATATGTAGATTTTAGTTATAGCATGATGTACCTGCTACTACATGCTTTCAGGTATTGATATCCCAACTGAACGGCAAAAATGCGCAACATAGAATAATATGGATATAATATTTCCCATAATTTTTTTCATTTAAAAACACTTGCTTCTTTGTATATAGAGATAGCCTTCTCTTTACAATTTTTTCTAATTGGAATGATACAGGTGTCAGAACAAGTAGCGCAATCCAGATGTTCAGATTCGCTCTGATTTTCATGCCAACTGGCAAGTAATTTGCACTGACGATACAGTTGTCAACAAACATGATGTTCCTCGCTAACTTTTCCGAATTCACGGGTCACTTCCTATTGTAAATTAAGCAGGAGAAGAAACAAACAAACAAACAAAACGGAAACAACGGTATGCTAAAGAGAAAATGCCTCCTTACTACAGACATGAGCTTTGTTTTTTCTCCTTCTTCTATCTTCTGTAGTATTACAATCATACATACTAATACTGTACATGTCAAACACTAAACGACACAACAATAGCCAAGAGCAGTCAGCAACTTTAATAGTATTACTGCTATCGATTATACTCGTGGCGACGAATACATCAGTAGTGTTTGCATTTGATGGCTGTCAAAATGAGTTCGCTATCACCGAACAAACTTGTTCCAAGTTCAATTTTGATGGCTCGACTTTAGGAGTTGCAACAAATATGCTTTGCTTTGATATGGACAAGGACATGAATACCTTTTATGACTTGAGCGGACTTCCGGAGATTACATGGATAGATCCAAAAGTAATGCGCATGGCAAGCCTGGTCACGAATGTGTTCGAAAACGGCGATAAAGTATTCGGATATGCGTAAGCATCTCACTATAATTTTTAACAAATAGTAGGAATAAGTGTATCAGAATACTGTTGGATGATGGCACATACTAATCGTTTCTATAGAGCATGTCAAGATATTGGAGACATGCGCGGGTTCACATGCGGATATGTTGGATTCACTGTAAGTAGAAAAGATGCCAGTGTATAAGAAAGGTGTATGTACTGAACTACTGTAAAACAATGCATATCAAGACCGGAACAAACGATGCCGACCAGCTGATACGCGAGTTCTCTGAAATCAAACCTGAAAACCAGCTGGTTTCTCACTTGAGCCGGCTAAGTGAAATCAGTCAATTAAACTCATGCGATATCACGCAACGTGCAAGCACTGCTGGACTTGATTCCTTCTGTGATTCCTGGAAAGCAGAAGCATGTAGCGATGATCAAAAGTTTGCGTCGTTTCAAAGGCAATGGACTTTGAACAACTATTTAATACCAAGTGCAAGATTTGCAGCCGGTGCTGGTGTCACTAGCGCTTTGGGCCAGCTTATTTTCTATGGTAAGAGGCCACAAAATTCGCTACAGAAACAACAGCGGCAGTTTGCTTATGAGCTTCTATGCAGATACAATTATCCAGCACGGATACCAATTCGTAGAACCACGTATCAATTTGGTTCGTATTTTGGAATTGACGGGCGCTCGTGGTGAAAACGAAACGGAGCAGGGCTATCTTACGCGGTTCTTGACGACCCGACGACAATTGCAGTGCTGCTATCCGTAAGTGTACATAGAAGATTATAGTGACCTCATTGTGTATCTATATTCACTAGTTTCTCTGTTTAACAGTGATAACGTATGGCCAGCAAGTGCTGTACGTACATGGGATCTTCAAACACTGGTTGATAACTTTGATGGAAATCGTGATCTACAAGCCCCGCTGGCACTGCCCCACTTTGGTCAGGTCGTCGCAGGAGATGAGGCAGATGGAAAGGATATAAGGCGATGTCTTTGAAAAAACCGGTCTGTAGCATATATGCATATGCAAGAAATAAGCTTTGACGAAAAAGGTGTTTGTAGTATAATAGAAGTAGATAACTTAGCGTCAATTCATGAGATTACTAATAAAACATACAAATGACAGACTACGTATAACAAAGTTTATGCAATGGTTTGTGTTTTTGTTTTAATATAAATTGACGCTGTTGAACCATTAGTGGAATAAAAAGAAGCAGTGATGAACAAGTTTTAAATTTGTACAAATTGTTGAAAATTATATACATGCGAGAGAACAAGAAAATATCAAACAATTGAATGAGAAAAGAAGAGCAGTAAGTGAAACTGATAAGAAAGAGTAAGAAATGTACACCAGAGAGATAGAAGAGATACTTTAGTTTCGTCTCCAGATGGAATCGCAAACTTGGGTAACTTCCCACATGGGACGAACGTCATGCACACGAAGAATATTCGCGCCGCCCGCAATGCTAGCCGCAACTGCACCCGCAGTGCCGAAAGAACGCTTGTCGGCTTCTTGGACACCAGTCAAGTTGCCAATAAACTTCTTGCGACTCGGGCCCATCAACGAAGGGAAGCCATCCAACACAGAGTCGGTGCCTTGTACCATATCACCCAAGCGACGCAAAATTTCAATGTCGTGTTTAGCAGTCTTTGCGAAGCCCAAACCTGGATCAATGATGAGGTTCCACCGATACACACCGGCTGCCAATGCGTTTTGGACAAGCGTATGGAGCTGACGAGTAACATCTTCCACCACATCATCGTTTTCGTATTTTACATTGTCCTGGGACATCATGGTCTTGGCGTCACCACGCATGTGCATCAAGCACACGGGTACCTTGGTCTTGGCCATGACTGACAGCATATTGGGATCGCGTGCACCACCGCTGATATCGTTGATGAGTGTAGCGCCAGCTTTAACAGCAGCTTCAGCCACAGAAGCACGGAAGGTATCGATTGAAATGGGCAGATCGAATCCACGCTCGCGCAGTTTCTTGATCACTGGCACCACACGACTGATTTCTTCTTCTTCGGGAAACTGGTCGTCTGCACCTGGACGTGTCGACATGCCACCGACATCAATGATATCTGCGCCTTCTTCTTTCATGCGTTCAGCAGCTGCCACGGCCTTGTCCACATCCACATAGCTGCCGCCATCCGAGAAACTGTCTGGCGTCGTATTGAGAATACCCATAATGTACGTCTTGGTTTTCCACTTCCACGACTGGTTCTGCTGGATAGGAATCACTTTATCAATCTGCTGTGGGCCACTGTCGGTTTCGGCAGAGACCTTGAGCAATTGCGACAAAAGCTGGCCGCACGTCTTGTACAATTTCGGATGCTCCATATCCTTAGCAATGTCGCACAAGGGCCAGAGAACAAACTCACGCTCCTGGATACCGATGTGTGGGATCGTCAATGTATCGGTTTCCATGACAAGATCATTGTAAAACAGGATATCGAGATCGACAGGTCGAGGTGCATTGCGGAAACTGGCCTCGCGACCAAGTGCTGATTCGACGTGCTTTAGTCGTTCCAGCAACTGCTGGGGCTCCAAGCAGGTAGCAATCTTGCACACAGCGTTTAAGAAAGCAGGTTGCTCGATGTAGTACATGGGCGGTGTTTCGTACAAGAAACTCGTATCCAAGACTACAGAACTACAATCACTCTCGAGCATGTCCAACGCAGTGTACAGGTTTTTCACGCGGTCGCCAACGTTGCTGCCAAGCGCAATATAGGCGATTTGCGTATAGGTTGCGGGTACTTCTTTGCCGACAGCGTCGCTTTGTTGGTGATGAGCAAACACGCGGTTGGCCTTTCTCTCTTGTTCCAAAACCTGGTTCAACCATGTGCGATCGCGGGTCACTTCAATACCGGATGCATCGGCAAACAAAATAGCGCTGGGTTTTTCCAGTCGCACGCGAATCTTGTTGACATGGCATTTTTCAATGGCGATACGCGCAAGAGCAACGGCAAATGCTTCAACAGTCTTGTACCCGGACGACTCAATATATCGTGTCAAAGTACGTACCATAGTACGCATATGGTGCGACTTGCTCGACTCGTCGGCCAACAGTTTGGATGGGTACACGGTCAGATTAACAACCACTACTTGCTTTTCCTCGCGTTCCCATGGGTTCACACCAATGATTGTCGAGAGCCGCAAGTCCTTGACAAAGACAATATCATCCTTGCCCAAACCAGATGCATCGCCCGTGGTTTGTTGCTGCTTATCAGTGATGCCTTCAAAGTCTTGTTTGGTGCGCGATAGTTGGACACCAGCTGCTGCAGCATGCAAAAGCGCCTTGGGTTGTTCGACCTTGACCATTGTTCGTACGGCATCGAAATCGACACAGCAGAGACGCAGAATCGCATGACCTAATTCTTCTATCGACTTGAAGGTGCCGGTTTCAGTCAGCTTGGAAATGGCTTTGGTAACATGGCCATAGTGGATCGAGCTTGTAACGTGATCTGAATTGCCAGCAGCAGTAATGTCCGTATAGAGCCACACATTGATCACCACAGGCTGTGACTTTAAGCGTTGCCACGAGTCGACACCAGTTACGTTCTTAAGAACCAGATTCTTGATGAGAATCTTGTCCAAATGTCGCGGTTCATCTCTCTCCATGATGTGTAGTTGAGAAAAAGCTAGGGTAAAGGGAAAAATTTTTGTTTTGGCTACACAGCACCTGATGCTTGTGCGACATGTCAATTACTTTAGGTCTGGTAGGCAAACAACAATAACAGCTAAGCTCTTAAAGAAGAGCTATTCACGACAAATATTAGGCTCACTTTGGGACCTTGGAGAACGCTAGACTTACAGGCGGTACGATTGGAAAGATTACAAATATCCGCAGTTTAGCAAGTGGTCAAGGTGAACATGTTGAACAGCGCATCATGTTTATCACTATGGCTCCGTAAATCTAAGCTCACCGTGGCAGTGGATATACCAAGAACAACAACTTTCGAGCACAACATAATCATTAAATACAAGCAAACAGTTATACCGTTATCATTCCGCGATAGATTCATGCGACAAAAAGAACAACTATAAAAAGTTTTTATTACAAACAAAAGAAAGAAAATAAAGAAGGGAAAAATAATAAAAAGTCTACTCTTCATTTTCGTCCATATCTTCATCGCTGTCCTCATCGCTGCTTTCACCCTCAGCAACATTTAGATCCATATCTAATTCTTGATCGCATCCGTTGTAACTATCCGACATCAAGTAAACCTTGAGCGTATGCTTGCCAGCCTTGGGTGCAATGAAGTCCAGCTTGACCGTCAACTTGTGTGCAAGGGTAACACGCTTGATGGCCAGCAAGGTCTTTGTTGCGGTGTCGCCAATGACGATCCACCAGCCTTCATCCTTCTTTTGTGGGAAGTAGGGTGCAATTACAGGGCCAAGTTCTTGTTCGTCCTCGTCGTCATGCTCGCGTTCCAATTGGAACTTGACGTTTACGACACCGCCAGCGGCAACCGAGTCTGGATCAGCGATATCGAAACCGACTTCAACATTAGGATATCGGTTGACAAAGTTGGCTACTTCGCGCAGCTTGCGGCCATCCATGCGCAACACGTCGTTTCGTACATCGTCCTCCATTTCCATGATATCGAACACGGACTCGACCTCGTTCTCCTCACATCGCTTGATCACATCGCTTGTAAAGTAGGGCACCTGCTTCAGTGGCGAATCACGATCCCACATGGCCTGTACACACATTTGCGCCAGTTCCATAGACGCCAGGGCTGGGGATAACCAACCATTTGAAGAGATGACATCAACGCACGCTTGGATAAGCGGAATCAACCGGCTCAAAATGAGCGACTGGTCAGATTGGAGATCTGGGGGCAGCTGCAGGCGAGAAAAGTGTGCCTGAAGCAGGATATTTGTCTTGATTCTTGGTGTGTTGAATTTGGGTTGTGCCAGTTTGGATGGAAGTCGTCCATAGATGCGTTGTAAAATGCCGTCTTCATGGTGTCGGATCGGAATGTTGTCAAACTCGGTAGCCGAGGCAACGATTTCCAACAAGCCCTTGATCTTGGTTGTGTTCTTCAAGCTGACGCTAAACATGTCGACGGTGGTATAGTTGATGTTGTAGTAAGCAGCGATCATACCGAGGTTGAGCGGGCTGACGTCCATCTCATCTTCGATCGTGATACACTTGGTCTCTTGCAAGTCGTTGAGTGTATTTTCGACAAGTTCTGACAAATGATCTGACAGGTGACGGTGAGTTGTGCCAGACAAACCATAGTAGTTGGGGTTGTGTGCCATGCGACGGTACATCAGCGTCCATGTAAGAATATCGACTGCTTCTTGCTTGTTTTCAATGGTCTTGGTCACAATTTCGGCATTAAATTGATCATGCAGTGCTTGATCCAAATGCGATTCAATCGGAACAGCCTCGAACAAAAACTTCTTGTAGTATTCCTTCTTGTTGGCTTGGCACATCAAGACACACTTGCCAGTGTCGTCATCGCGCGGTCGACATGCCCGTCCCATCATTTGCAATACATCCTTCATGGAGTAGTCGACATATCGATGCTCCTTGCCTTCAAAGTGTTGTGTGCCCATCACCACCACCATATGCGAGTTCATTGGAATGCCCCAGCAGGTATCGCGCGATGCAACAATCACCTGAATAGCGCCCGACTCGTACAACTGCTCCACAACTCGCTTGTCTTGCTTGGTCAATGCTTCGTGATAGTAGCCAATTCCGTGTCGAAGAGCTTCCACCAAGTTCTTGTCTTGAACACGCTCCAACAATGGCTCAATTTCCTCTTCCTTGCACTTCAAAAAGCGTGTTGCTTGGTCATCACCGACACAGTATGTAATGATATCGAACGCTGTCAACCGACACTGCTTGCGCGACGGCACAAACACGATGGCAGGCTTTTCAGCCGAATGCGTGGTGATTGCCAAGTAAGTTGGCTTAGCCATAGCCATCATCAGCGATGCAAAGTGTGGGATATTGTAGCTCTGGATGTGAATCTCGAGCGGCACCGGTCGTACGGACGGATGGAAGTTGAATACAGAGTGTGATGTTGCTCCTAACCACTCGCCCAAGTCGCGAGCGTTGGCTACCGAGGTGCTGAGAGCCACAACGCGGATCGGTCGCTGTGTCTGCGAGGCGATATATCGCATACGCGAAACAATCGCTTCGTATGTTGGACCCACTTCTTCATCGCCAATAACATGCATCTCGTCAGCAACGAACAGGCTGACGTTCTGTACGTTCTTGCGTTGCTTCCATCGTCGGGAAATCACATCCCACTGTGTTGGTGTGCAGCAGATCACATCACCACGTTCCAGCAATTTGAGATCCGCGCTCGTTTCGCCAGTCAATGCAACAACTTCCTTGCCGCCACCCACGTTGCCAAACTTCTTTTGCCATTGTGCCACGCGTTCGTTGACAATCTCTTGGTATGGCGCCACATATACACATCGCGATCCTTCTTCTTCCTTGCTCCACAGACGCATCAGTGCAAACTCGGCACATACTGTCTTGCCACTGCCTGTAGGTGCGCCAATGAACACATTGTCGTCCGTAGTGTACAGTGTGTTGAAAACTTGCGTCTGGATGGGATTGAACTGTGAAATCCATCCGTTGTACACCGACTCGTATTCAATGTTACGCAGCGCTGATACTGGCAAAGGCTGTAAATCGTGCAACTCGGTGTGAGGAGGGTACTTCTCTGGAAGAATCAGATGCTTGAACGACACCGGCAGTTTGTTGATCGAATGCAGCCATCGATCGGACACAACAGTTACAAAGTAGTTGGGTGGCAATGGCTCGAACAACGGCACCGTGAACGTCACCAGATGCTCCTCTTCCGCATAGCGTTGCTTGAGCACAAAGTAGTCGTGATACAAGATATGTTCGCCGTCAACATCCTCGACCAAGATCCAAAACGCCTCAGCCATGCCGTGCACCTTTTCGTCCCACTGGAAATCGGGAGTGATAGTCAATTCCACCTTCAGTAACGAGCGCGTCACTGGCTGCACACGCGCCTGCAAATCCAACTTGGGGAACTGATGGATGAACTTGTGCAGCGTCTTGCCAGCCTTGGGGTTTGATACCAACTCGCCCAATTCTTGTGGATCCAGATCAAAGTATCTTTCCCATGGGAACTCCTTGCGCTCCAGACGGCGGATCAAATCAGCCGGAATCTGCTTGAACTGACGCAACGGCGACATTGACAACCACGCACGCTTTTCCACCATCTTACACAGATCGAGTGCCTTTCTTGTCAATTGAGCCCAACCACGCTTGAGACAGATTTCAAAGATCGACCGCAGAATACGTCCAGCACTTTGAGTGACATAGACCATATCAGACACCAGTGCAAAGCCATCCAACTTGAGTTGTGAGATGTATGCTTGCAACAGCACGTTGATTTTGGCTGTGGGCTCCTCCAAGCTTTCCTTGACCGGGATAGGCACACGCTCCAACAGCTTCGCCAATTCCATCTTTTCCTCTTCGCGCACAGGAATATATTTAAATTCATCCGACAGAGCAAATACACGGAACAGCTCAATGTGGCTCATCATGGGTCGCAAATGCTGGTTGTATGTCGACATGGAATGGTGTGTGACATAGTAGTGCGATGCAATACGGCCGAGTTCGGTCACCTGGAAACGGCCAGACTTCTTGTCGTATTTAATCAGGTTGCATTTGTCAAGGATAGATGCTGCCGAATGCACCAAGTCAACACGCTTCTGCTCCAAGTACGGATCGTTGTCAATGTCATCGTGTGATACGCTGTAGAGCGACGGATTTCGCAGCATGCGCACGTACAAGTACGTGTAGCCAAGCCATTGCACTGCCTCGTCTCGGTTGCGGATGGTTCCCAGCACAATTTCTGCGTTGAGGTTGTCGGCCAACTTGCCAATAAACTGTGATTCAATCGGCAATTGGGTGTTCAGCAATGACAGATAATACTGCAGTTCTGTGTGCGCTGTGATGATGATACCCTCACCATATGTATCGAACTGTGGACGACCAGCACGACCCAACATCTGTAGCACGTCTTGTGGCGACAACTCCACCCAGCGGCCCTTTTCTGGCGAATAGATTTGCGTACCCTTGATGATGACGGCGTGTGCTGGCAAGTTGACGCCCCAAGCCAGCGTTGCTGTCGAGCAAAGCACCTTGATGTGGCCATCAGCAAACAATTCTTCCACGAGCGTACGGTCGGCACGCGTCATACCAGCATGATGGATGGCGAAACCGTAGGGAAGAAGCTCTTGAAGATTGGCATCCTTGACTTCGGCTGCTTCTGATTGCAAAATTTCTCTGCTTGCCGAATCGTCCTTGAGGAACCGGGTGATCGTATCGTTCTCCAATGCCATGTCGCGCAACGACTTTGCTGTCTTTGCCGTTTCCTTGCGCGAGTGCACAAACACCAAGACCTGGTTCTCTTCCCGATTCTCAATCTGCTCAACTACCTTTTGGTAGCAAACCTCGTTCATGACCTGGAAGCGCTTGATGGCCTTCTTTTCCGTGACGCCAATAAATTGCTGGCGAAGCGGGCATGGACGGAAAGTGCTATCAAAGTAGTGCAGACCCTTCTTTGGATCAACACGCAAGAATGCAGCAACATCCACATAATTCGGCAGTGTAGCTGACAAACCCACCAGGCGAACGAGCTCTTGAGTCTGTTCCATGTTTCGGATGGTACGCGACACGATGCTTTCCAGCACAGGACCTCTTTCGTCGTGGAGCAAGTGAATTTCATCAATGATGATCAAGCGGACAAGGCTGGTGTAGCTGCGGTCGGTAGCCTTGCGCGTAATGATATCCCACTTTTCTGGCGTCGTCACAATGATTTGGGTCTCGGCAATTTGTTGCTTGGTGAGTTGTCGATCACCCGTCAATTCTGCCACGTTGATGCCATAGGGCTCCAAGCGGCTTGAGAAATTGCCCACCATTTCTTGCACCAAAGCTTTCATGGGCGCAATGTACACAATCTTGAATGAGTCGACGTCAATATGTCCAGTTTCGGGGTCGCGGAAGTTGTCCATGGCGCGCAGAATCGTCAACATGGCTACGTTGGTCTTGCCTGCACCGGTGGGAGCACACAAAAGGAGGTTTTCATCGCTCTCAAATGCAGATGGATATACTCTGCTCTGGACACGGTTGAGGCTTGTTGCGCCTGGAAATGCAGTTTGTGCCCATTTCGGCAATTGGTTGATGGGCTTGAGCTTTTCGTTTGAAGCAAATGCTTGTGGTTTTGGTGCTGGCACATGGATCTCTTCGTAGCCCTTCTTAGAACGCTTGAACGAACCATCGGGGAGCTTCACCTTCTTGTTAGACATCAAGTGAGAGCCCTGCTCAAAAGCAATATCATCGAGATCCAGCATTTGCCGTGGTGCAACAGTGGTACCTGGCGCCAGTGTGGTGGTGGTGGGCACCTGGCCGCGGCTGCGACCTTGTTGTGGTTCGTTCTCGTCAATCTCCATTGCACTCTCGACGACACCCTTTCGCTCCAATGCTTCGCCTCGTCGTTCACGATCACCGCTTAGATCACGCAGAATCCAATCAAGGTTCTTTTGCTGCATCTCGGCCTCCAGTGCTGTCTTTTCGTCGCCGGTGACTCTGGCAAGTCGTGTACACCAGTAAATGAGCTCGCGGTTCTTGACAAGGATACGCACCAGATCAAACTTGTCATAGTCAAACAAACCCATGAGCTCGTTTTCGCAGTCGCGCATGTTCACCGATTCTGATCCCAAAATGTCAAACGCCTGGACGGTCTTCTCCTGTGCTGTGTGAGGATCAGGGTATTGAGTGGCAATTTGTCGTTGCAGCCAGAACGCATCAATGTCGTGAGGCTTTACACCATCCGACTTTTCTCCTGCTGTGCCTCGCTTCTTTTTGCGCCCGCTTTCACCACCAGGAAGTACAGTTTTGAATCCTGTCTCTTCGTCTTCCGATGGCCCCTCTTCGTCGTCAACATATCGCTTTGCACCGGTGCCGAACGATGCTGCTTCTGTTGCGGCTTGTTCTTGTTGTGCGTGTGCTGCTGCGGCTTGTGCTTCTTCTTCGTCCTCGTCCTCTTTCACCTCAAACTGGTCATCCTCTTCTTCTTCGTCCTCATCCTCATCAAACACGACAGCGACACCAACTTCATCGTCAATGGCGCCAATACGTTCGCCATTCTCGTCGACGTCCATGTCATCGCCCTCGCTGTTGTAATCCGTAATCTTTTTTGACAGATTAACCAGTTGTGCAAATTTGTCGGATTCCACGCTGCCAATGACAGACTCGATCTCTCGTTTCTTGTCAAAATCTTTCAGCGTGTCGGTCTTGAGCGTTTCGAGAACATCATCAGCGGCACTTCGGATAATGTCTCGTGCCTGGTCACCCAGGTGATTGTAGACAAAAGACAGAATGTGTTCGTATGCTTCACGCGTTTCTTTGGTGCGAGGACGATAATTGAGACCTTCCCAATCATCGGTAGCCGACAAAACGGATGAGTAGCCGTACGCTTTGCTGATGGCGCTTTCTTCTTTTTTCCGTCGTCGCTTTTCGGTTAATTCCTCAGATCGTTCGGCTGCCTTCTTTTTCTTTTCTTCAATGTCTTTGGGCGCCTCCCTTTCAGCCCTGGAGCCAAAGCCTTTGGGATCGATCTTGCCCCACAAGGTTTCGGGCTCGCCGGTTGGCTCTTGATCCCGACGTGGCAACCCACTGCGATCGGCTTGCAGCACGAGGCTGGAATTGGCTGCATATTGGTACTGGTTGGCCTTTGCAATGTTTTCAGCCATGATGTGTGTTCTTTATTCTACCGTATTCCGTCGTCGTCTTATTGCTTATGTTATTGTCAGTTGTTGGTGTTATTTTATTCGGCAGACGGTTTTCTTGATTCGACGGGTTAAAAAGGGTTGTTATAGAAAATGAAAAGAACACAAGGGAGAATGTAGAAAACCGTGGCGAAGCAAAAGCAGCATGCGTGGCCCGCCTCCATGATCATTTTAGACCCGCTCAGATTCGTTGGCCGTCGGAGCACAGTGGCTTATCAACAACCGATTGGATAATAGCTGTCAACTTCCTCTGCTTAAGTGATTGGTAAGTTACCTAGCAGTATAGTCTTTGAGCACGCTGTTATTACATCATCGCATAAGACATTAGCCAATGTAACTTATAACATCGAAGATATTTGTATGTTTGATATTAGAATATTAGATTCATATATGATAAACCATGTACTATTCAAGGCCACAACGGTACTGCCACTATCGACACCTCATTTTATCACCCAATTCGATATTCGACTAATAAAAGCTTCATTGAAGGATAATAGCATCGCTCACTTGGCGTAGTAAATAGTATCATACACCCTGGTGGAGCGCATTCAGATCACAGCTCTAATACTACGACCTCAACTGCTACTGAACCAATCAGCAAAGAACATCCTAGTAAGGTGAATCAACAAATAAGCTACAGCTATATCTAGTTATTCATTCAGTTAAACTGACTGATCCGTGACAAGCAATCCTGATGAGCGATATCGTTAGATAAAACACCATTTCCATCCCAAATTGGTTCGTTGCACAAAAGGGACAGAGACGAATGAAGTCCGCTCTACACATACACTCTCGTTTTTTTCTGGTTTCCAACTAAGTTTCATTTCGTGTTTCTCGAAAATAAAATGGCGAATGCTTCGGTAGCTCAAGTACTTGAGGCGCTTTCAGCTTTATACTCTGCTTCCGATCCCCAAGCTAAAAATGAAGCAAGCAGATGGCTAAACACTTTCCAGAAACAGGTATAAATTTACCCCTTCTTAAAAATTAGTTAGGAGAATGTCTGTAAAGCACATGTACCAAGTTAACTGTTTCGATAAAATATGTACCTGCATACAACAGCAAGAAGCATGGGGCACTGTCGATTATCTTCTCAAAGCTGACGATTCGAATACAGAAACACGGTTATTTGCAGCCCAAACGTTTCGACAAAAGGTACCATTCTGTTCAGGGACCCTCAGTCGAGCGATCAATCTATGAAAATGTTTTAAAAGATTCTAGAAGGAATTGACGTATCGATATATCTCTAGATAACCTATGATTTACGTGATCTCGAACCCGCAGCACGATTAGCTCTACGCGATTCGTTGGTCGAACGATTGACGGTTTTCGCTACGGGACCTAAACCAGTCATGTTGCAGTTGTGTTTGGCTTTGGCAGATCTGGCCATTCAGTTGTCGGAATGGAAGACAGCTGTGAAGGATATGGTTGCAAAGTTTGGTGGATCGCCCGACACGGCCGTGTGTCTACTCGAATTTCTTACTGTACTTCCTGAAGAGCTGAATACAAATACCAGATTACCACTAACAGTAAGATCTTTCACACGTGATTGTATACGGGAACATCAAATTTGGGGAAAAGAAAACTCGATCTGACACGAATGGTTACTTAAGGATCACGAATACAAAGAACAAGGCGTTTCTCTGCTTGAGAGTAATTCTGGTGAAGTGTTGAAATTGCTGATCATGTATATGCAATCGAGCGGTAAGAAAACTGTAACATTTCCACGATAATCACTGCGCAGAAAGAATTTTAACGTTTCGCATGATCAACTAGCGGGCAATATCGATCTGCAAGAGCGCGTATTTAAATGTCTTTCTAGCTGGCTTCGTGCAGGCGATGTTGACATTGCTATTCTGGGAAACAGCCCACTGATGAGCATGGCATTCGAAGCACTTGATAACGAGCAACTATTCGACGTTGCTGTGGATTTGGGTGTCGAGATCATTTTCGAAACCCGCGATTTCAATGCTACGACATCCAACTTGGTCCGCAACATTTATCAATATATGGTGCCTCTTTTGGACAAGATTCGTGAAGCCAAGGAAGAGGAGGACAGTGACAAAGTGCGTGGCTACTGTCGATTGTTTGTTAGTGCAGGCGAAGCCTATGTCCCGCTTATCATTCAGCACCCTGACGATCTCAACGCTATACTGGAGGGTATCATGCTATGCACAGCTTACAACGATTTGGAGATTGTACCCATCACCTTTAAGTTCTGGGACGAGTTGACGTATGCCTTGATGAATCCACGCAATGACCAAGCTATTTCGACGCTTAGTCGATACTACGATGCATTGGTGGATATAATTATTCAACATTTACACTATCCCGACGATGTAGCCAGCTGGTCTGCGAAAGAGCGTGATGATTTCAAGGATTTCCGACACGATATGGGAGATACACTTAAGGATTGCTGCAAAGTTCTCAAGCCGGCACCATGTTTGACCAAACCACTGCTACAATTACAGAAGCTCTTGACGACTCCAAACACAAAATGGCAGCAGATCGAAGCACCTATTTTCTCTCTCAGAGCCATGGGTGCACAAGTACCGGATGACGAAGAGCAAGTCATGCCACAAATTCAGGATCTACTCTCTAGGCTCCCTGATCATCCCAAGATACGCTACGCCGCAACACTCGTCATTTCTCGTTACACATTCTGGACTCGCACACATCCACAGTATATCACTTATCAGCTTAATTTCATCTCGGCTGGTTTCCAAAATGAAGAGGTCGCTGCAGCAAGTGCATTGGCACTCAAACATTTATGCAAAGACTGCAATGAGGTAAGAAGTTTATTTCTTGACTTGACTTTGCTGATGCTCCAAAATGTCAATGCCCTGATTTTGATCCAAGTTAACCGTTTTCTTCTTTCCATGTTTAGCTACTGATCGACTATCTCTCCGAATTACACCCTTTCTATACCAGTATTATCCGCACGCTCCCCTTTATTGACGCACTGGAAGTGACCGAAGCAATAGCCCATGTGCTTGCCGTGGTTCCTGTATCCAACCTGCAGAATGCGCTACAACAATTCTGTTTACCGCTTGCACAAGATTTACACAGCATAGCTATCAAAGAAGGAAACGTACAATCGCGAGATGACCACCAAAAAGCATGTGGTGAGTATTTAAACTGGATAACAAGAATTGCAAAAAGACGAGTTATAAGACAGGGGGAAAGGTACAAGAAGAAACACAGTGCTAATTGGATTACGTTTTCCTCTAGATCTACTCGAGCTGATAGCAGCATTCATCTCCATTATCCATCCTGACGTACCACTCGGACAGCCCAACCCATGTGTCAATTTTGTCAACGAGTTATGGCCGATATTTGATCTCTGCTTAAAGAACCTTGGCACGGATTCTGAAGTGTGCGAACAGCTCGGCAAGTGTTTCAAGAGCTGCGTACAATCCTACAGGCTGGCGTTCGTGCCATTGTTACCACAGCTGATGGATCGCCTGGTCACCGGGTTTCAACTGAGCGGCTTCAGTGTATATCTCTTTGTCTCTTATCGGATTATTCGCGAATATGCCGAAGGAGGCGAAGATAATGCAGCAGTATGCTTTAGCCTTGTGGAGCGTCTGAGTCAAATCATGCTCACCAAAGCCAATAATACAAAGTTCGACGACATGCCAGATGGTAATGATATAAAGTGTAATATCGGAGAAAAAAAAATGCATTTCCTATTAACGTCTTCTTTTGTGGCAATGTAGTGGTGGAGGAATACTTTGGATTGCTGACCGCACTGTTGGAAGCAGCCCCTACACATCTTTTACACAGCACATTATTCCCTACCGTATTCCAACTTGGCTTTGCAGGATTATCCATGGGTGAAGTGCGTGCACTGAGCTCTGTGATTGTCTTTTATCGACGTCTCTTGGGCATTGCGCTATCTGTGGACGAGCTGGTACCTGCAGACGCAACACGAACCGCGGCATCCATCGGTCAAAATGGCGCACAGATCATTGAACAATTCAGAAATAGCGGAAGCGCATTCGTACGACTTATCTTCACCGGTTTGATCTATCATTACACTTGGGATGTCATTTCGGATATCGCGTCCATCATCAAGTCACTGGCACAGATCTTACCCTTAGAAACAAGTGAATGGGTGGTTGCTGTCGTGAGTGAAATACCAGAGACCAATTTGGCAGCTCGAAACAAAAATGAATTCTTAACTAGCTACATGGGGTAAGTTTACTTTTGCAGATAGAAAGAGAGAGAGAGAGAGAGAGCGAGAGAGAGAGAGAGAGGGAACATGCTCATTAATTGATATATACCGCTCCCCTACTTTGGCTATGATTAGTGCTATCAACGAAAAGCAATGGGCCAAGGCTCGACGAGTTTTATCGGATTTCATCACTTCGTATAGACGGAAAAATGCGATTGACCGAACCACTGAATAAAATTTAAAATAATCGTTGCATGTTGGACTTGATCTCCATCATCGTCATCTCAACTAATAATGTTCTCGTTTTGCTACTGTCGTAACCAATCATTCTGGAGTATGTTATCACTGTATGGTTCTATGTGTTTTCGTCATCATGACAGACGACGATTATATGCACAGGACAAGTTTGGCCCTTGGTATTGATGATAGTGTTGCGACTAGCACATCTGTATACTGTACTGTAGATATGGATGAGTGTGAACAAAATAGTGTTGCAGTCCTCCCAATATTTTTAAACGTACTGGTCAAGAAATTATACATGTTGCTATTCTTGCTGTAGAAAACCTCTGTTTGTGGTCGAATCAAACTGTAAGGGCATCACAATAAGACAATCCTCAAAGCTCTTATCTATCTTATGATAGATTTTTACCGTCTCGAGCGGACGAATTAATGGAGCAATGTCAACGAGTGTGCGGTTCTACCTCGCAAACAGTGGTCCAGGTAGTACGTTTTGTAGGCTGAGCTTTACTGGACAGATTATCCAGTACACCAAAGATGCTGAGCGCACAATGTAATATGCTCGTGCATCAGATATGTTTTCATTCACAAAGAGCTATTGACCATGACTTGTTTAGCGTGTGTGCTTCAAATGCATCACACCAAAAGAGTTAAACATTCGGATGGCATAGTTTTTAGCTGTTACTACGCACTTCCAAAGTGGGGAACGGTGTTTGAAAATCAGTCCATCATCCGAAGCCAACAAACGGCACTGACGCGTCCCTCCCACCAACCCAGTTACGCACCTTTATTTCTTTTTTGCTTTAACACCAAATATCATGTCCGGATCATACGATCGTGCATTGACCGTTTTCTCTCCCGATGGTCACTTGTTTCAAGTGGAATATGCTTCAGAAGCTGTACGAAAAGGCACTTGCGCCGTAAGTCATTAGAGATATCTTTTTGTCATTCGTTTCCCCTTTTTTTTTACGAAAATGGGCGTCATGAAAAAAGAAAAGAATCTGAACCGTCATTATTGAAATGAATAGGTTGGCGTACGAGGCAAAGATGTGGTCGTGCTCGGTGTCGAAAAGAAATCAGTATTGAAACTGCAAGACCCAAGAACTGTACGCAAGATTTGCATGCTTGACGAACACATTGCTTTGGCATTTGCAGGTATAAATCCAGGACAAACCCGAAATATCACCTTGCTACGACTCTCCTTTCAAATCACAAAGGGGAAAAAGAAGAGAGAGAGGGGAAGCAAAACTAAAAGAAATTGGTTTGTTGTATTAAAAAGGTTTGACGGCCGATGCGCGTGTATTGGTGAACAAGGCCAGAATCGAATGTCAAAGTCACCGTTTGACCGTGGAGGATCCACCAACTGTTGAATATATCACCCGTCACATTGCTCAAGTGCAACAGGTAATAAAAGAAAGAAAGAAAACAAATAGAGTCAAGATCTAACACATTTGGATAAAATGGACAGAAATATACCCAAAGTGGTGGTGTACGTCCCTTTGGTATCTCAACACTCGTCGTTGGCTTTGACCGAAACGAACCTAGATTGTACATGACGGAACCCTCGGGCATCTACACGGCTTGGAAGGCCAACTCGATAGGCCGAAGCTCAAAGACGGTCCGTGAGTTCTTGGAAAAGAATTACAAGGAGGAGATGGATCAAAAGGAAACCATCAAGCTGGCTGTCAAGTCCTTGTTGGAAGTCGTGCAAACGGGTGCAAAGAATATTGAAATCTCAATCATGATGTCAGACAGCACCGTCAAGGTAAAACAAGAAGGGACTGGCTAGTTTACATTAGGATGGCCACGCACTAACTGGGAATCGACACACATGTAGAGCTTGGAAACAGAAGAGGTGGAGGCTGTTGTGGCCGAGATTGAAAAGGAAAAGGAAGAGGAGGCCGAGCGAAAGAAGAAACCATCGGCTGCAGCATCAGGAAGCAGCTAAATTATAACCACTATCATAATAAAAGCGGTCCTTGAAATAATTGAAAACACAGAAAACACACTTGAAAAATAAAAACAGACGGATCTTATGAAAAATGGAGATATGCACAGTACTGTTATTAATAATTTTTTTTTAAAAGAACAGATGGTATTATAAAGAAAGATAAAGACAAACTACATAGGTAAGAAACCCGAACGAATATATATATAAAAACCCTTATTAAACAAAACAAAAGCGGTCTAATCTATAACTATACTTTTTGAGAGATGAATGTGTGTGGATGTATGAGAGTGATATGTGTGTTGTATATATGTATAAAGCGAATGAAAGTGCGGTGGTGTCCTTTTAGTTGAGCTGCACAAAGGTGTCGTCGGTTTGGAAGTCCAACGGAGAGACAGTAAAGTCAACTTCCATGCGAGCAAGACCCTCGACGAACAACTTGGCACACTTGACGTTGGTCAACAAGGGGATCGAGTAATCAACGGCCATACGACGGGATCGGTAACCCTGGGAGACGAACGAAGCGGGGCGAGCATAGCGGTTCTGCGAGGGCAAGTTGATGTACATGTCAATCTTGTTGGACGACAGGTGTTCGTGGAGCGAGGCCTCGGGTTCAATCTCGGCTTCCTTGCCATCCAAGCCCTTCAACTCGACACATGGGACACCGTGTTCCTTGACATATTCGGCAGTACCCGAGGTGGCATACAAGTTGTAGCCCAACTCGTGCAACTTTTGCATAGAAGGCAACAATTCCTCCTTGTCTTTCTCGGCGCCAATCGAGAACAGAATGTTCTTTTTGGGCAACTTGAAGCCAGTGGCGATCAAACCCTTGATGTAAGCCGAGTATTTGTCAGCGCCAAAGCAGGCAACTTCACCGGTCGAGGCCATTTCAACACCCAAGACAGGATCGGCACCGGGCAGACGGCTGAACGAGAATTGAGGGACCTTGACACCGACATAGTTCTTGTGGGGCGAGTTGACCTTGGGGTAAGGCGTGACAGGCAAGCCCAACATGGCGTGGGTGGCCATTTCAATCAAGTCGACACCAGTGACCTTGGAGACAAAGGGATACGAACGAGCAGCACGGACGTTGCATTCAATGACCTTGATCTCGTTGTTCTTGGCGATAAACTGGATGTTGAAGGGACCGGTGATCTCCAAAGCCTCGCCAATCTTGGCAGTGGCAGTCTCGATCTTCTTGACAGTCTCGGGATCCAAGTCCTGGGGAGGCTGGATCAAAGTAGCGTCACCCGAGTGGACACCGGCGTTTTCAACGTGCTCGGAGATGACGTGCATGATCAGCTTGCCGTTCAAGGCAACAGCATCCATTTCGATTTCCTTGGCGTCTTCAATGTACTTTGAGATAACGACAGGATGTTCGCGCGAGACGGCAGCAGCTTCCTTCAAGTACGAGACCAAGTTGTCACGCGAGTAGACAGTGTTCATGGCAGCACCAGAGAGGACGTACGAGGGACGGACCAAGACGGGGTAATCCACCTTGTCACAGAACTCTTCGGCCTCCTCAAAGCTGGTCAACTCACGCCATTGAGGCTGATCTACACCAATGCGGTCACACATGCTCGAGAACTTGTAACGATCTTCGGCATTGTCGATCTTTTCGGGCGAGGTACCGAGGACCTTGACGTTCTGGCGGTACAAGGGCAAGGCAATGTTGTTGGGGGTCTGACCACCCATGGACATCAACACACCCGAAGAGTGCTCGATCTCGTAAATATCCAAGATACGTTCCACGGTAATGTTTTCAAAGTACAAACGGTCAGCCTCATCGTAATCGGTCGAGACGGTCTCGGGGTTGTAGTTGACCATGACGGTCTTGGTGCCTTGTTCGCGCAAGGTGCGGATAGCACGGACAGCGCACCAATCGAATTCGACGGACGAACCGATACGGTAGACACCGGAACCAATGACCATCACACCCTTGTCCTCAAATTCAATGTCATGCTCCGAAGCATTGTAGGTCATGTACAAGTAGTTGGTGTAGGCAGGGAATTCGGCGGCAACAGTATCGATCTGCTTGACAAAAGGCGTGATGCTGTGGCTCTGACGGAGAGCACGGATAGACAACTCTTGGCTGTTGAGCTGTTGGGCAATCTGCTTGTCAGAGAAACCGAGCTGCTTGGCGGCACGCAAGGTGTTGACAGGAATGCTTTCGGCAGTGAACGATTGGAGACCCTTTTCCATGTTCATGATGCGATTGAGCTTGTTCAAGAACCACTTGTCAATCTTGGTCATTTCCCAGATGCGGTCGACAGTGTAGCCCTTGCTCAAAGCGTTGGCAATGGCAAAGATGCGCTGGTCAGAAGGCACCAACAGTTCTTGATCGATGCGATCATCAGAGACAATGTCGTTCTGCAAAAGATACAAATTTACCATCATTAAGAAATCTATATAACAAATACCAAATATTTTATATAGGCTACTTACGGTGCTGAAACCAGGGAAGCTGTAATCAATGGAGCGGATGGCCTCTTGCATGGTCTCTTCAAAGGTGCGACCAATAGCCATAACTTCACCGACCGACTTCATGGCAGAGCCAAGGGCAGTGCTGACACGATCAAACTTCTTCAAATCCCAACGGGGAATCTTGACAACGCAGTAATCCAAAGAAGGTTCAAAGCAAGCGCAAGTCTTCTTGGTGACACTGTTCTTGACCTCGTTCAAGGGAATGTTCAAACCAAGCTTGGCGGCAACGAAAGCCAAGGGGTAACCAGTAGCCTTGGAAGCCAAAGCGGACGAACGGGAAAGACGAGCGTTGACTTCAATGATGCAGTATTCCTTGGAGAAGGGGTTCAAGGCGTACTGGATGTTACATTCACCGACGACACCCAAGTGACGAATGACATTGACGGCAGTGGTACGCAACATGTTGTAGTCTTCATCGGACAAGGTCTGCGAAGGAGCAACGACAATGGATTCACCCGTGTGGATACCGAGGGGATCAAAGTTCTCCATGTTACAGACTGTGATACAGTTGTCTTGGCAATCACGAACGACTTCGTATTCGATTTCCTTCCAGCCCTTCATGGACTTTTCAATCAAAACCTGGGGCGAAGTGGCAAAGGCCTTGTTGCAGAGCGCAACTAATTCTTCATCGTTGTCGGCGAAACCAGAGCCAAGACCACCAAGAGCATAAGCAGCACGGCAGATGACGGGATAGCCAATTACGTTGGCGGCCTTCAAGGCTTCTTGATGGTTTTCGGCCGAAGCGGACTGAGCGCACTTTTCATTGATTTCATAAAGAGCCTGTGCGAACAAGTCACGATCCTCGGTGGTGATGATTGTATCGATGGGAGTACCAAGCACCTTGACACCCAAAGCCTCGAATTCGTCCTTGAGCTTAATACCAACGTTCAAAGCAGTCTGACCACCAAAGGTGACATAGATACCGTCGGGCTTTTCATACTGAATGACCTTGCGAACAAACTCGGGGGTGACGGGCAAAAAGTAGACCTTGTCGGCCAAGCCCTTGGATGTCTGGATGGTAGCAATGTTGGGGTTGATCAAGACGGTGTGGATGCCTTCTTCCTTCAAAGACTTGATAGCCTGGGCACCCGAGTAATCGAATTCACCAGCCTGACCAATGGACAAACCGCCGGAACCAAGCACCAAGACCTTGTTGACATGGACACGCGGGTTCTTTTTGATGTTTTCAGCAAGGACGCCACCGGGCATCTCGACCGGGACGAGCTTGTTTTGCTCAACGCATTGGCGGACGGTGTTGATGTAGACGTCAAACAAGAATTCAGTGTCGCGGGGACCCGCGGTGGATTCAGGATGGAACTGGACCGAGAAGATGGGCAACGACTTGTGGATGATACCTTCGTTCGAGCCATCGTTGGCGTTGATGAACAATTCTTGGAAATTATCGGGCAACGAGGTAGCATCGACCGCATAACCGTGGTTCTGCGAGGTGATGTAGCAGCGGCCCGAAATCATGTTGGTACAAGGAATGTTCTGGCCACGGTTACCGTACTTCATCTTTTGTGTCTTGGCACCAGCAGCAAGAGCGAGCAATTGATGGCCCAAGCAGATACCAAAGATGGGCTTGGAACCACGGTCCAAGACCTGGCGCAGACGGTTGAAGGTCAACTCGACCATGGTGGGATCACCGGGGCCGTTAGAGATAAAGAGACCATCGTACGAATCCTCGGGCTCGGCGGCAAAGTCATAGTCCCAGGGAACAATCTTGAGCTCGACGCCACGGAAGACAAAGCAGCGGATCTGGTTGAACTTCATGCCGACATCGACGGCAACGATGCGGAGGGTTCGGCCGCTGGGGGTCTTGATAGCGTTTGCGGGATCGGGATAGTAGATCTTGGGCTCACGGATGGAGACCTCAGCGACCAAGTTGGCCTGGTTAGGATCGACCCACTCAACATTGTTGTAGTCGCTGATCCAGCCAGCCGTACCAGCGTTGGGCAAAGCGTTGTCCTTGGGGAACAAGATCTTGGCCAAAAGCACACCCTGGTCACGGATCTTCTTGGTCAGAGCACGCGAGTCGATGCCATAGAGCGCAGGGACGTTGTTCTCCTTGAGCCAGTCACCCAGCGAGGACTTTGCAAGGTAGTGTGAGTAGTCTTCGGTGTAGCTGCAGACGATTAAACCGGCAATGTGGACCTGGTGCGACTCAAAGTACTTTGGAATGTCCTTCAAAAGCTCATCCATGGCAGTGCGGTCAGGCACACCATAGTTACCAATCAAGGGGTAGGTCAAGACCAAGATTTGTCCACGGTAGGATGGATCGGTCAACGATTCGGGATATCCCACCATGCCTAATCAAGTAAAAAAAAAGAAAGTTGACAACATTTTTTTAGTTGGGTTACACAAAAGAAACTTTTTTTTTAATTTTTTTTTTGTTCTAAAGGATTCCAAGGTAAATTACCTGTTTGAAAGACAATTTCACCAGAAAGGCTCTTGGCCTCGGCGCCAAAGGAGACGCCCTGGAAGCTGCTGCCGTCATTGAAGACCAGAGCAGCCGTGGAGACATTCTGGTAGTTCTCAACCGCAGTGACGGGAGCAATGGGAGCAGCAACAGCGGTTGCAGAAGCAGTGGAGGAGTTGGAAGAAATGAGAATGCTTGGTGCCATGATTGAATGTTATGTACAGATTATAAAGGGATGCCTTTATCCGGTAATGACAAGAAGTTATTGGGTTAGTTCATCTGTTCCTGCAAGACCCACACAAAGGTAAACCCAAATATTTACTTTTGTTCTTTGATCTGGTGAGTGTGTGCGAAAGGGTGTATGTATAGATGAAAGTAGTAGTAGTAAGAAGAGATGCCTTTTTGTTTTATTGTTCAAATGAAGAAAGATTTAAAATGAAAAAAGAATGATGCGAGAGATAAGTGAGGGGGTTAAGCAGACGTAAAGGGTATTCCGAGGACCGTCAGCCGAACAAGCTGAAAAGTTTCATAAATCAAAAGAGGCCGCTCTTTTATACGTCGGCTCGGGTGCCTTGAAAAATTTTTTCTACTCCGGCTGATCTCGTTCCGACGTGCCAATCACAGTGCGGGATCTCTATCGCTTGCACATCATCCCCTCGCAGGACCGCCTTTTCATATAAGCCGCTGGGCGTTTCCAGCTGCCGCACCACAAACCGATTCGTCTGGCTGTCCACGCCCTTGATGGTGCCTTGCGCTGCTGTGTTTCCGTACAGCGTGAACTTTGCTTTTTCTTCTCCCGTGGTCGTAATGACTGTTTGCCAGAAATGAACATTGCGCGATTGCCACTCGTCGTAATTTTTAGTGCTCTTGACGTGTTGGCTTGTCATCTTTTTTTTTTTCGGTAGACAGAAACACGCTAAACTGCTAGTGGTAGATTATTGTAAACTAGGTACTAACTAGCTATTACACTACGTCAGTTTCCAGCCAAGCTGAGTGTGTGTGTGTGGTGTGGGTGTCGATAAGCGGAGGGAGGATGTTATTTCTCAGCAGAAAAGAGAAAAAGTCTTTTCTTGCATTAGTTTTACGCAAGCAATTGGTGGAGTTTAGGTTTCATTTAAAAAGCTGCTGCTGCTGCTGCTATTGTTCAAGCACAGCAGCCCTTTCTCATTGAGCGCCTAAACATTTATGATCCTGTGCTCTCTCTCTCTGTATATACACATGTATTTGAATTGACCCAACACTTTCTCTTAGGTGATGGAGGTATGTAGGGAGACTATATTGGATTGGAGTGAGCTTGCTGAACACAGAGAAATCAGGCTTGTATGACCTACATCTTGATTTCAACCTGTCCCCGTGTAACAGCCAGTGTGTGACAAAAGGAATGCTAAATTGCCGAAAGCTCGATTCAGTTTATCCTATTGTATCTCAGTCTCTCACTCTCTCAGTCTCTCTCTCTCTCTCGTTGCAACGACATGCCTTCACGTGAGGTCAAACACTCCCCCCCCCACCCTACAAATGATGTGGCAACAAGTGTCATTTTCTAAAAGCTGATTGACTGGCTTGGGGGCTTCCCCAATGGTCATGATGTGCCTCGTGTATGGCGCTATTCGACGTATTCTTGCCCCTCAAGTACGCAAGACGTGGAGGGTAGTAGTAGAGACATGCCCGTCGGCAGTTCAACATGAACCAACCATCTACCACCACCTACTAGTTCAACGTGTCGGGTATCACAACCGATCACTCTGCCATCATTATTTTATTTGGGACTAGTATAAAGGCCGAGAAAGGTATACCCGTAATAGTAATTGACCGTGATGTAGAGTCACCGTTTGTCATGGTGAAAGGCCTGAGTGTAACATGGACAATGACGACGACGACCAGTGTCTCTTTCTACCTTGACTCGCAAGTTGCGCGCATCCCTTTCTCTGCTGCTCTCATGTGTATATGTGTATGTGTGTGGGTGTGGGTGTGGGTGTGAATACACCATTACATGTGCATGGTACATGAGTCTACATTGCACACACACACATAAACAAACGAAAAAGACGCATGAACTGAGTTGCTATTGCTAATAGTAAACCAAAATGAGAGAGACAGCTGTTTTGAAATGTACAAGACGTAGCTTAGTGTTTTTGTTCCCGCTCCTATGCCTATAATTTTTGAAATCCCCCAGTTGCGTTGACGTAGTACGGGTATACTACAGAGGCGGTGATGATGGATGACGATGATGAAAAGGAGAGCTTTCTGTGTGTGTGTGTGTGTGTGTCATACATGAACAACAACTCTTTTGTTAGCCATCCTCCATGGGACATTAAGCACATCTCAACCATCATCATCATCGTCGTGTAGATCATCTTGTTTGTCCCCCCCCTCCCCCTTGTGTGTGTCCTGAGCGCTAAAAAATGCCATGGAATTCAATCAACGGTATTATTTAGTTTGAGCTAGTCCCTGCATTCTCTCGTTCTCTTTCTCTCTGTTGCGCGCGCGCGCGCATCTCGCCCCTTCCTCTCCCACTCCCCCGATCCCTAGTGGTGTGTGGGCAGTAGTCGCTAGTGTGGGTGCGTGGATGCTTGTGTGAAGGGAAAGGATGAACGGCGCATTTGTTGTTTTGTTTTTCGGACTAACGTCGCTAATTGAGTGTAGCGTCAAAAAATAAATAGGGATTGGATTGGCATGAATCATGTGTCTATTGTAAAGGCGTGTATACACACACACACACACACAAACCACATATGTAAACTTGTTGTTATTATGTACAATAATGTGGATGATGTATGCAACGCGTGCTCTTGTTGTGTGTGGTGAACCTCGGAAGCTATCCTTGCTGTGTTTATTTGACACGACTTTACTACTTTCTGCTTTAAAACGCATCGTCCGTCTTTGCCGTCGTCGTCGTCATCGGCTAAAAATAACGCGCAGTCTCCCACATGGCTCTGTCGCCGTGTAATGGAGACGATACTAAACTCATTCGGTCGGACCATCCGGGTGGGTTCGGTTGTTGTTGTTGTCGATGATCGGAAAGACAAAGGATGCTCTCTCTGTCTCTCTCTCTCTCTCTCTTACTTTTGAGCCAAACATAACCAATGGAAGAAGTGGTGGGGCGGAGAACCAAGTTGTACGATGAAACATCGAAAACATCTACTAAAGTAACCCCCTCCACTAGAACGACTGAATAACAACAAAAGCGCGGGTGATACGGCCGTAACGATCTACGACTGAGTGGGTCTATTGAGCTCAGGTACTAGTACTAATAGTAGTAGTAGTCATGGCCTAATTGCTAAAGGAGTAGCAGCTAGTAGAAGCGTGTGTGGATATCTCACCTACGACAGCCATCAGCCATTTTCTATTTTCTTTTTTTCTTTTATTTGAGCGGCGGGAAAGGTCCCTTTTTCCAATTTGAAAGAATTGGGATTCCGGGGCCATTCTGTGTGACCGTGTGTAACCCGACCGCTCTTTACTCTCTCTCTCTAGAGGCTCTCTCTCTCTCTCTTGGAGTTCTTGATTGGCAAAAACCTACCTGCTCTTTGGATTTAACTTTGACTCTCAGAAACCGTATATAAACGAAGCCCTTCCAACCGTCCTTGGTTTTCTTGCTCGACCCTCTTTCCGCACACGCCTCTTTGACTTTTTTTTTTTTGTTGTTGTCTACTACACACTTCTTCCTCAAAAAAAGCATACCCTTGCATCTTCTTCTTCTTCTCTCTCTCTCTCTCTCTTTCCTGTACCATCTTTTTCCTTCTCTTTTCATCTTGCATTTGTTTTCTTTCTTTTCGTTACATTACCAAATCACATCCTATCATGCCAGTTCCTATCGAATACAACAACTCTGTCCGTCGTATGAGCACCATCACGGTCCCCAACCAAGACATTAGCTTTGAGTAAGCTATCACTATTACTGTGATTTGACCACACACAAGCCCGACCGAACATGTGGAACTGACTTTTTCTTCTTTCTTGAACTATCAAAAGCACATACGATTTCCAGCTCTGCGCTCCGCAAAAGGATGTCAAGGACGCCTTTGAGTCGCGTGAACTGGAGGCTGCATACTGCCGTGATTTCTCATGCTGCGGGCTGGTCCTCTCAGATCTCCACGATCTGCTGCAGCACTATGAGGAATGCCATGTGCGTCTCGAGGAAGAAGACGAAGACGATGCCAGCTTCTGGTCTCCTACCCCTCCATCATTATCTTCTTCATCTTCTCCATCCGCCTCGCCTTCCCCTTGTACCGCTCCCAGCTCGCCTACGCTGGACGATGCCGAAAGCTGTGATGCCCTTAAAAAGAAGGCTGCCGCCTATCTTTCCGACTTGTACAACAGTGCCACTCTGTCGCCCTTGTCGCTCACCTCGCCCATCAAGGAAGAAGATGGTTTGGAACTAGCAACAACAACAACAACAACAGGTCCCCTTACTCCTACAGATTCTGTTGTCGAAGAACCTTTGAGCTATTACAGCTGTAACGAATCATCATCATCACAATCATCATCATCATCCTCCTCCTCCTCTTTGCCAAAAAAATTGACCATCAACACCGACATCACCACCGCATCACCATCATCACCATCATCCTCATCATTAAATACGTTGACAGCTGGAAAGAAGCGCTCGTACCAGCAGTTTAGCAGCTTGCCGAGCGCCTTGGACTTATTGACCCAGAGTGCCGCCAAGAAGCTGGCATTGGCAACGGGTGAGCTGCCCACGCCAATGTTGACCGATGAGGATTTCCTTGCTCAAGCAGGCGCTTTGCTTGCTTCTGCCAACACCAGTAAGTGTATATTTTGGGGTTGTGTTTATTTGTATGTGTATGTGTGTATGTTAGGCTGTGTGTGTGTGTGGTCATGAACGATCATTGTCCAGAACTTTATACTCAAATGTTGTTATTGTTTATATATAAAGATGCAAACGCCGACAAGCCGTACAAGTGCAATGTGCCGGGCTGTCAAAAGGCATACAAGAACCCGAACGGCTTAAAGTATCACAACCAGCATGGCCACTGCGACTTGGTGTCGGATGAAAGTGAAAACATTGCTTCCAAGCCGTACCAGTGCACCATTGGCGACTGCGGCAAGCGCTACAAGAACTTGAATGGCTTGAAATACCACATTGAGCATTCTCACATGGCTGCCTTGAATCACACCTTGGCCAGCTTTGGTTCGTCCTTGTTTTCACCTGCCTTTGCTGCTCAATTCGCCTCTGTGCTTACATCTGCTTCTAATACTAATAACACTACCACTACTACCACTACCACCACCACTACTCCCGCTAATGCTACTACAACCCCTCCACCATCAACCTCTTGTACGCCTGATGTCTCCCCTCAAGCTTCTCCTGTTATGTCCGCGGCAACACTCGCCAGCTTCTTCTAAATCTGTTTGTTTATTTTGTATCTATATATCCATCCCCCTCTTCTATCTTCCGTATATTGCATAGTCCTCCACCACCACCATCATCTCTCTCTCTCTCTCTCTCTCTCCTTCCAAAAAGTTTGTTTGATTTTTGCTTTCTATCTATTTCCAGAACAAAAACCAAAAAAAAAAAAAGTGACTTGTATGTTTATATATAATGATAATAAAAAAGTAGTTCTATTTTCTCTTATTATGGTACGAATCGCAGAATTGTTTTATTTCATCGCGGGTGTTATGTACAAAAAGAAAAGGGCTCCGCAAAATTGTGATACAAATGTGCAACGTTTGATCATCAGTTTTTCTTCTTTAGTAGCAGTTGCACTCGTCTTGGCAGGAGCAGCCTAAATCAAGACAGCGTGTGTGTCAGTCAACATCTCTTTCTTTTTCTTCGGAGGAGGAGGAGGAAAAACAATAAAGTTCACGTTATACCATACCTTGACCGGTGCCTATAATCATTGTTTACGTGATGATTATTTGTGTGTTACAAGATGGTTTATTTAGTATACAGCATGTACGAACACAGAGTGGCCTTCGGAAGTATAGAGTAACAAACGATGGAGGGGACTTTTTTTACCTTTGCAAGCGCATGTTTGCTTATGCATGGCCTTGCAGTCTTTGCATTGACAGTCCTTACCACACTTGCATTGGTTGCTGGTTTGGCAGCTAATTTACAATACATTCAAAGGTCTTTGGTTATGTATGCACGCTATAGAAAAAAGCATCTTTCAAAAAAGTTGATGGGGCGAAGCTTACGTGCAACTATCGTTTTGTGTACAAGGGCAAGCCATTTTGTGATTTCTTTGTTCGAGTTGAAAAAGAATTTAGAGTTGAAAAGAGAAAAAAAAAGTGTGACAAGGAGGAGGCCGCTTTCCTTTTCTTTTATGTGTGTGTGTTGTTTCCGGCGTAAACCCCCCTCCAGAACAATCATCATTCTTACGTCTACGTCCCGACCATGTTTCTCTCATGCTAACACTCAATTGGATCTCCATTCACTGTTAATGCCGATGCGTTAAGGGCGCGGGTGTCAAAGTGAGTTTGTCATTTTCCATCAGTTTTTCTATTTGAACAACAACAACAACAACAACAATCAAAGCCCCTCCGTCGTTTGTGTCGTTTTGGTCCCATGTTTTTTTTTGTACCGCGTCAACAAAGAAAGAAAGAAAGAAAGAGAGAGGGAAAACAAAAACGTGGCACACAACGAACACAAACGTCATGTCCACACATGTAATACACTTTTTGTAGACGATACGTAAAAGTGCACCCAGATCATGTCGAGTGAGACAGACCACCATCCGAGACCCCAGAAGACCTGTTAGCACTCAGTAGAGAGAGACACACACACAGTATGTATTACACAGAGTAGGACAAAAAGGCAGATCCCTTCAACTTTAGCTGTTTATGCTTGAAATCATTATTTCGGACGGGGATGTCCCGGTTGGATCGATATATATATTAATTATAGACGCAGCCACTTTGTCGATTCTATAATCCCCAAGCCCAAGGGTAATGAGAGGGACAAATGAACCTCGGACGCAAGACGGACATCATTTTAAGGTTTTCGCAGGGGTAGGGGTGTGTAGAGGTGGAGGATACGGAAATGGACAAAGGGACGAATATATCCAATTTACATCGTCGTGCTGTAACACATTGGTATACTAGCAGTAGTAGTAGTAGTAGTGACAGCTTTATTACTGTAGATTATGCCGAGTTCTCTCATCAGAATGATGTTTGCATGACACACCCAAAACTCAATACAACACGACACACACACGAACGACATAGTAGTCGCTATCATGTTGGAAGATATGTGCGTTTCGCGAACAAGGAAAAGGTGGGTGTGGGAGGCTGCTTTTCTTTGCTTTTGCGGGTTGTGATGATGGCTTTCCAGCACAAACAACAACAAGCTGAATGAACCAACAAGAACCGGTTGCACGTCATTACTTTTAATGCCGTGCGCGCGCGCATCAAAGTACATGTGTTACCAAGTCCCATTCAATAATGTCTTGTCTTGTCGGTACGATAGTAAGCGCACCGAGCATATCATACTGCAGAATAGTGACACTAGTAGTAGTAATAGTAGTTGACACGGTGCCAATTCAAAAGTGTCTTTTTCATTTGTGTATTGTCGATTATTTTCTTGGTGGTGGATAAGTAAAAGCTACTCAACTGTATTCGGGTCTGGTCATTATCATCAACACGCATTAAGACAGTGTTATCCATGTGAGTTACGATACTATCTTTTGAATCTATAGCCAACACGTACACACAGAGAGAGAGAACGACTGCGGTTGCAGCCAGTCAAAAGGAGGATGATGAAAAAGATGCCATCATGCAGCTCCTCGCTCCTCTCTTTTGGTTTGTAGTACATGTTTTCTTGATTGTCTAAACCGAAAAAGGATCACATCTAAATTGCTTCTGTTCTTCTAAAACATATACTCCACCTCCCCCCCCCTGAATAACAAGTATCGTGTACAGCTGTATGACCTGTTATATGCATAAACAATCTGGACATTACCACTTTCTCTCTTTAACATCATCCTACATTTGCTGGACCTACCGACTCACTACTGTAATAAAAAATCAATGGAAAAAAACCAACAACAACAGTGCGTTGCTTTGCGTTTAAATGTGAGGAACGGAATGGGGATGAGGTTTTATTATTGGCTGTTGATCAATGCTTTTGCCAATTGGATTTTTTTTTTCAATTCATTTATATCAGCGTCTAATCGTCGTCGTTCTTCTTCTTTCTCTTCCATCTCTTGCTCAAGCAAAAGCAATTCTTCTTCGAACAGTCTAATTACATATTAAATCAAGTGAGTATCTTTGAAAAAAACAAGTTTGTACAAATAAAAAGGACTAAAGTTCCTTTAGTGTCAAATTTTAGATTCTTACCTTTTTGCTTGTTGGCAACGAGAATCAGCTTGCGGGGTAGGTGAAACCATGGTGCAAACGTACAGTTGATGCAGGTAGAGCTTGGTATTTACAAGCTATTGAAAGTTTATTCATGTAAGCAAAACAATGTAAGATGGGTTATCACAGAAATAAAGGCTAATACATACTTCTCTTTTGATGTGAGAAAAAATAGTGTAAAGAGAAAGAGAGGGGTGAATTGGGTACAGAGCCTTTATATATCAAAGATTTAAGCACCAAGTGAGATTATACAACCTCAATGTCCCAACATGTCAAGGTCACCGGACCCGCAAGAAATAACACGCCCTCCACATGAGCAATAACTAGGGTTATTGCCGTGTGGGTCCAGACTCTCTGTCCTTGGTAACTGACACTGTTGGAGAGATACGAAAAATGGTGCACCGAGACTTGTGATAGCGATGTGACGATGGTTCGAAGCGCCAAAAAAGTGCACCCATCAATCCTTTCTCTCCTCCGGTTTCTATTTTTCGTATATGCATCCCATACGTTAATTTCTCTTCCAAACTTTGCTTTAGCTCTGACACTGTGTAAACCGAATTTTATGATATTTAGTTATATTTAATAAATTCTATTCTGCTGTTTTATATGACACTCGTGCCAATGTCTATGAAAAATTGTTTCTCGTTTTCGGTCAAGCGTTTTCTATGAAGATACCGCCGTGTAGTCTTGTAATAATCTGCCTTAAGTCCAAGACGATGCCAACCTATCTCATGATAAGGTCTGACGGGTGGCCACTCCATATGTCGTGCTCTGGATGGTACGAGGTCAATTGCGTTAAAGTGATTTGAGCTAAGAAAAAGAGTTATTGGCTGCGGTTGTCGATTGGTTCCCTTTGGGATAGTAAAAGGCAAGTATTAAACACTGTTCCAATCCAAGCGATCATCATATACTGCAATCGGCACAGTATATGCATCTGCAGCAATTTGGGCATCTAATATCGCATTGAACCAATAATCCGAACTGCAAGTGTACTTCTGACATAGTGCTGTTTCTGGTGTGATACCATATTCCATTCGTTTGATCGCATTTTGCATTATAACCTCACGTCCGTTCCATAGAGTATCGCGATAGAAATCATAGTTCGCAAAAAGCTGATAAAGAATTGCTTGTTTGACCTTGATATATTGATCTTGGTCACCATGAACGTGGAGAGCAAGGGTACGATATTAACACCATCCGTCAGCTTTGATATGCTTAATTCCGAACGAGCAATCGAGCGGGATCTCTCGATGGACGAATATTGAATTGAATTCAGTTATACTGTCAATCCCTTCCAATAATCTTTTTAATTTACCATGGTTCTCTTCGAAGACTTTTCCTGTTACTTGGCCATAAGTCCTCAGCTTGATTTCCGGTTGTTTTCTTTTCTTCTGCTTGTTTTCAGTTTTCTTGTCCATCGTTTTCTCTGTTTTCTTCTCCATCTTCATCTTTTCTTTGATCTTGCTAATTGCATTTTCTCCTTCACTTCTTGCTTCTTCTTTTCATTCTGCATCTCGACACCCATGATATACCGCATTATTTCGTTTGATCCTGTCTCCAAGTCCTCAGCCATTGTCTCAATTTCTTTCAACGTGAACGGATCGACTTTCATATCCAAAAGGTGCAGGGCGTGTTCATCAATCTTATTCAAGATATCTCTTTCCGAAGAAGACGCAACTTGCCAAGAACGTGGCGCGATTACAATCGCCATACACGCCATATATAAACACCTTCATTTCTATTTATCTACACAAACAATTCACACTTACACAGATACACACCTCCCATAGACACATGCTTATTTGTTTTAACTATTATTATCTTTTTCTAAACATATCTCTTTTTCTGATCTTTCATGACATCGAATGGTTATAGGTGTTTGGGTATCGTAACGAAATATCAAGAAAACGCAATATTAGGAAGATGTGATGTTTTTTTTACCAGGTATAAATTTGCTCGGTTCAGGTCTACGGGATTTTTAAGCGGCACCACCAAGAGCTTATGACTCAACAAGCGTAGCAGTAACAATACAATAGCATTCTTTCTTAACACATCTTTGTCAATTATGTCTCTCAACACCACTGCCAGCTCCTCCACGTATCGGGCCTTGCAAATGACTATGCGTGATACTATGAATGAAACGCACCGTGAAGCACTCGAAGCCCGCCCAGCCAACACTAAGAAAACCTATGTCAAAAAGCAAGCGGAATACCGTAAATGGTGCGATAGAATGATGCCACATTTGCCTACAGAAACTCGTTATATTGTTCATGGCGACAAGCTTCATTTGTTTCTCAAGGAAGAGGTATGTACGATAACTGTGAATTGTGCAACTTCAAATTTAGTTTTGCTGTAGTGCTTCTTAACTTGATACAATCTCAATTAACAGGTCATGAACCGTGATGCTCGTCGCAAGGGCAAAGGATCGACCCAGCTCAAGAAAAATCAAGGCTTCCACTTTCATGAGCTACGCTGCCGCCGTCGTCTATTCATATCAGCAACAAGTTCGTTCGTTTGTCAATAGTCATCCTCATCCACGTAGCGCTGTCAAGGAACTTTATCGACCCCGTCCAGATCCGCGAAGAAAGCCAACGACGTGAAAATTACGACGAACGCGCACTTGGAACATTGATCGATGGATATACGACCACCGATCAGATTGCCGACGTTGTCGATTACTACATGGCCAAGAAGGAAGGGTCACACTTGCGCAATGCTCTCGCATTTTTGCTTTCTCACTACTGTTTGTTGCGAAGCGAGTCGGCTCGGAAGGCTACCGTACCCGATATGCACAGTGTCGAATTGGAGCGTGAAGGCCCGTCCGAATGCCATTCCCTCATGATGATCATCAAGCAAGGAAAGACAAACAAGCATGGTTGTTTGAAATTTGTTGCCTCCTGCACCCGGAACACTCGCGTCGAGATATG